TGCGTGCGTGCGTGCGTGCGTGCGTGCGTGTGTGGCCGTGGTGGTGGTGGTGGTGGTGGTTGTGGTGGTGGTTGTGGTGGTGGTGGTGGTGATGGTGGTGCTGGTGGTGGTGCTGGTGGTGGTGCTGGTGATGGTGGTGGTGGTGCGGCGCGGTGGTGGCGGGCGGATGGGCGCGCGAGAAAGAGGCCCGCGCTGGGGCGAGAACGCCATCCTGAACGACGGAGGCCAAACACCAATCCGAAAATGAGGCCCACGCTGCAGCGGGAGCACGATTCGGCACGATTCGGGAGCAGAAATGAGGCGGGCGCCTCAGCGAGAGCACCATTTTGAACAAAAAAACACAAGCTAAAACCCGTTTCCCGGGAATCCGGTAAAAAAACAATACGCGGGGGGGTGTCGGATATCTTCGGGACGCCATCAGGGGAAGTGGGAGAATATTTTCATATTGTGTAATTGGGAAAGGAGAAGGAGGAGAAGGAGGAGCAGGAGGAGGGGAAGGAGGAGGAGGAGGAGGAGGAGGAGGAGGAGGAGGAGGAGGAGGAGGATCGGGTGAAGATGACATTGAGAAAGAGAAGGAGGAGCAGGGGCGGGCCTTCTCCGAAGGCTCGGAAGGCCTCCGGCCGCCTGAGAAGTTTTAGGCCTTCTCAGCCGCCCCCGCGCGCCCCCGCCGAGAGAGAAGCGGGGCCGATCGAGGGAAGCAAGAGAGAGGAGGAGGAGGAGGAGGAGGAGGAGGAGGAGGAGGAGGAGGAGGAGGAGGAGGACCAGTGTAAACCCAAGAGTCGTCAACGATGTTGGAATTAACCCTCCCTCCAAGCTCCCTCTTCACAGGCCCTACAATTGTTCATTTCCATTGAGGGAACTGCCTCGTTGGAAGACAACCGTTTGAAGATCCTGAAACACGCCAAAACATTGTTCTCGATATTTCAACGCCACGGATCAACCTGACTGCTGTGTCTTGAGGATCCAGAATCGTGCCAGAAAGCCATTTTGGGACTTCTACACCGCGAGCCAACAAACCTGCTTCACCCGCATAATTCTCAATCTTTCCAAAACACCACTGATGGTACGCTGATCATGGGAATCCGTGGAACTGTTGCAACTGCTTGAAAAGAATGTGCGCGGCGCTAAAGCGAGAATCACAGTTTAAAAAAGGAGCCGCCCTCAATCCATGAAACTCTTGCACATTTGAAATCGAATGTGCGCGGCGCTAAAGCGAGAACCACATTTTGAAAAGAAACCGCCCTCCATCCGTGAAGTTCTTGCACATTTTGAAATCGAATGTGCGCGGCGCTGTGGCGAGACCGACATTTTGAAAAAGAACCGCCATCAATCCGTGAAGCTGTTACAATGTTTTACAACGAATGCGCGCGGTGCTTCACATTTTGAAAACCACCCGCCCTCAATCCGTGAAGCTCTGGCAAATGTTTAAAGCAAATGTGCACGGCGCGAAAGCGAGAGCCACATTGTGAAACCCACCCGCCCCTCAATCCGCGAAGCTCTGGCAACTATTGAAAAAGAATGCGCGCGGCGCTAAGGCGAGCGCCACATTTTGAAAACCACCAGCCCTCCATCTGTGAAGCTGTTGCCACTGTTGAAGCTTCAGAATCATAAACGGTGAGGACATCTCAAGCGAAACACCCGGCCCGCCCAAAAAACTGGCCTCGGGGTGCGACACGGATAACTAATTTATAAGGAGGAGGAAGAGGAGGAGGAGGAGGAGGAGAAGGAGGAGGAGGAGGAGGAGGAGGAGGAGGAGGAGGAGGAGGAAAACGGAGGCAGCAGTTGGAGGAAAACCTCAGAAGCCTGGAGGGCTTTTGAGGGGCCCTGCCGCCTTCTAAGGAGGCCCGCTCCTTAGTTCCTTTCGGTGGTTCAAAAATGGGCTATTGAGGGATGGGATCCTAAGGACGAAGTGCCTCAACCAACGTAAATCCACTCCTGGACCCCTTGGTATCCCCAGGGCCCCATCGCTTGGAACCCCACCTTTGTGCCAAAGATCTTTCTCACTCTCCCCCCCCCTGGTGCGCCGCCAACTTGCGTGGCAGGACCCGGCAAAGACTGGTCGGGCCAGGCGGGGCCCGTCACCGAACCGACGCGTTCCACACCACGCCTGGCGCGCGAGGACCGCGGCTGCACCTCGCGCTCCTCGCGCCAGAGGCCCCCCAGAGGTAGGTCGCTTCCCTCGGAACAGGCGGCCGAGGTCCGCAGAGAGCAGACCCCGGCGAGGGCGGCTGGCGGGCGTCAACCAAACACCGACGACGACAGACGACGACCACGACGACGACGACCACGACGACGACGACGACGGACGACGACAACGACGACGACGACGACGACGACTGACGACGACGACGACGACGACGACCACGGACGACGGACGACGACGGACGACGTTCGTTCGTTCGTAAGGCGTCCTGCTAAGGTGCCTCCCGGGCCCGACGCCGCACAGAGAAGCTAGGTTACAAGCGGCAGCGGGGTTATCTCAACATTTTACGTCATTCAAACCACGCGCACTGCCCATCTCGCCAAGACAGCCCTTGATAGGGTTGAAGAAGCTTATCACTACCATAAAAAAATGTAAACATCACGTTCCCAACGCCAGATCCCTACAGTACGATGGTGCAGCTGGGAACCTTGCCATCTTGTCATGGCCGTCATCCATGCACGGTGGAAGCGCAACACTCTATAGGCAAGTCGTTCTGGCGCCGAGCGGGCGAAAGACAACGCGTGGCCTGCCCATGCGTGCCGCATGCGACGGCATGTCTGGGACTATTACATATCTCGCGCGTGCAACTGCGATCAATCGCCAAGTGGGTGCTCTCTACAAGGCACGCGAGAACGGCGGACGCGAAGCGTGCCGATATGCGAGAATACATGTGGCACCGCTCAATTACATCTCTGGGAAATTCCAAGCCACTGCGATTTTAGATCCTTAGCCACGCATCGCTCATTTCCTTGGCCTTCGAGACCGACCGAGCGAGAATAAACGACTTGCCCGTGGGACTTAGAATTCCCAAAACCTCATCCCCTTCGCCCTGATCAGCAGAACTCCCCAGCCGTTCTGGCGGCATCAATCTTGGAATTCCTGGAGGAATTCATCTCAAAAGGTGTCGCTCAGCTCGGGGGCCGCAAGGTCGCGCTGGATGAGGGATCTCCAGCGCCGAATCGGATCCGCAAGGGAATTCCCAGGCGCGCGGGCGCGCGCGGTCGACCTGCGCGTCTCCCGAATCCCAAAGCCCGCCGCGATTCGCAAGCGCCATGGCTTGCCAAGCAACGAGCGAGGGCGGCGCGCGGAATGTCGTCGCACAACTTTCGGATGCCCCCCCGCGCCACGACGACCAGGGGGGCCTTTCCATTCACAGAACTTCTCTACTGAGTGGCGCAAGCTGCGCGTGATTTCGCGGGTCTGGTAGCTTCTACGAATGGCAAACTGTTGCTCGCAGCGGCTGGTTTCAATCACTTCCCCTTGGGTCTTGAGAGTCATCGTGCTCGGGGCGGCCTTCTGCAACGCTGACGCCGGGGCGATCGGGCGACGCGGCGACATCTCCCTCGCACCCGGCGCCTCGCGGATAAATTGGACCGCGTGCTGGCCCCGAACCTCGTCGAAGAACTCCGAAAAACGAACTTGGGATTCCAATCGAAAAGCGCCCGGAAGGTGAACTAGAACATCATCCTCTAGACCCGGAATCACCTCTCCGACTATCACGTCGGCCCCATCGCGCGACCTACCACTTTTCAGACGACCAACGCACATCTTCAACGGCGGCAAGCTGAAGGGCACCTCCTGCTGCTGCTCGTCGGGCGCCCGCTGTCCGTGGACCCAGGCGGGAAGCGTCAGGTCGCTGTTCGGGCCCTGGAAAAGCCGCGCGCGGGAGGCGCGGGCCCCCTCGCGACGGGCGGCCCCAGTCAGCGCCCGCTCGCCCTGCGCGGTCTCCAAGCTGGAGACGGGGCGCCCCGACTTGAAAGGCCTCTCCGCCTTCCCGCGGTCGGGCGACCTTTCCAGGCGGTCGCCCCCTGCAGGTGGCGCTTGCAAGGGTCGCCCTCCTGAGCTCGAGCGCGCTCCAGCGCCCGGAGCTGCAGCGTCTGCTAGTCCCCCGGCGGCGGCCTCCGCCGGCCTCGCTTCGGCGCGCGGGCCGCCGCGGCGGCTGCAGCGGGGATCGCCGTCGCCAGGGCGCCCGGCGGGGCGACGCCCGCGCGTTCGCGGCAGGCGGCGGCAGACGACGGCTGGAAGGTCCGCAGGGTGTCTCCCGCGCCCTCGCTGCGGATGCTCTCCCGGCGGCGCTTCCGCGCAGCGCGGCAGTTGGCGCGGCGGAGCTCGCGCCTCAGTCCGCGGTGGGGCACGGGCGGCGCCATTGGCTGACGACGCCCCCGGCGTCGCTCCCCGCCTTGGCCATGCAGTCGGCCATTTCGTTTCCAACGCTGCCGTCGCGGCTCGAAGTGCGCCGCGCATGTGACCCGGAGGTGCGTCGCCAGAATCGCGAGCTCGAAATTCCCCCAGGGCTGGAAGACGCCCCGCAGCAGGTCGCGGACGCAAGCGGGGCCTGCGGCGACCGGGGCGCGGGCGCAGTCGCCCGCCAGAGGCGAAGGCTGGAAGCGCTGCCCCAGGAGCCAGAGCCAGGCCTCCACGAAGGCGGACAGTTCGCATGTGTTTCACGAGAGGCACGTCACACCCACGCAGCGCGGGTCGTTCGGCGTCGTCGTCGCCCAGCCGCAAGCCTCCAACATCGGCGCGCCCTGGCCATCGGGCCCCGCAACGTGGCAGGGCGCGGGCCCCCAGCCAGCAGCCGCGCAGCGGTGCTGCGGCGCCTGGCGCCGCCCTCGCCTCGCGGAGCCGTCCGTGAAGATACCCATGGCGTTTATCGAGTCGCCCTCGGCGTGCGTCGTCGGCTCTGGCGGCGTGTAGCTGATCTCAAGGGCCGTGCAGATCCTCAATGTGTAGTCCTCGTGTTGGTCCACCTGCCGCGCGACGGGCTTGCGCGGCGGCCTCTCCATCTCGTCGGTCGGCTCGCAGTTCGCGCGGCCCTCGGCGGTGGCGATCGCGGGCCCTGCGCGGCGTCGGAGCAGCAAGTCCAGGCGGCCGCTCTGGGCGGCGTCGCCGAAGCGCGCCTGGCAACGGGCCCTGCGAAGCCGGTCGCGGTGAACCAACGCGAAACCAATATGGCGGGGCCCCCGTGCGATTATCGAAGAAGCACGCTGCCTGGCCCCGCCGCTCCTTCGAGAAAGTGTTTGTCGCAACAAGGTGAAACTCTGTCATCGGATCGCGAATCACCTCGCCTCTCCAAGTCATGGTGGACGAAGGGCATGGGGCGACTGCATCTCCATCCGAACCTCCAAGGCCATCCTGGGCGTCGAGGCTGACAATGACGCGGCAATCGACTGGCATAGAAATCAAATGCTCCCGTAACTGTTCGAGAGTCTCTGCGTATTCACATCGCGCAGCGCGCGAAAACTGGCGGCTCGTGATCAGCCGAACCTGGCCCCGCATAGACAACTGCGAGTCCAAGGCCATGGCGCGGCCGCGACGACGAGGATCGCCATGGACGGAAGGCCGAAGAGACTCTGCAACCGCAATTGCGCATCTTTGCCAGGCCCTCGATGGAGGCGGCGCGTGCACGACGCGGCCGCCGCGCGACTGCCCGGCTCCACCTGCGACGCACCATGACTGGATAAAAAAACAATGTGGATAAAGTTCGCGATCAAGCTCTCCGGGCTCGCGTTGCCGCTGCCGAGCAAATGCGCCTCTCGCGCTCCAAACTAGAACTGCGAGCTTCCTGGCGCCCCTAGCAAAGCGGCGACCGCGAATTCGAAACCGCGGCAACCGACGCAGGCCGTTGATCTCGCCCAGCCCGCCCCTCAGCCCCAGGCCCTTCCAACTCTTGGCCCGGGAGCGCCACTGCCGGAGAGGGCCTTGACCAACCTCCAGCAAGTCCGAGGCCCTCGAACGGGTCTGGATGTGGATCGGCAACTCCGTGCTGCTCTTCCTAAAGACCACCTGGCCCCTGTCCCGATCGGCGTCGAAGGCGCGCATTTTGGTCTACTCCGTGCACGGCCCGTTGGCGAGGCCGTGCTCGCGCGAGATGCGGACCGCGAAGCTGACTGACCCCGCGCGGCAACTCCACCTCATGGGGCCCTTGGTCCACCTTGCGCAACAGCTTGTCATGGCGAGAGCCAGGGCACGGGATCCCCACCCCCTTCTCAGCGCACCATGAAGCCCAACATCTCCTGGTTGTCCGCGAGGACTATCTTCGCTTGGTCGCAGAACCTGCCCACCCCATCTCTGTGACCCCCTGGCGCCACGGGGTCTCGGACCTCGCGGGCGCGGTGCGCTGGCGCCTCTCCGCCTCTTCCTTGTCCCATGACCCTGGGAAGCCCGCCGCGAACACCACGCGCTTGGTACTCTTCCCACCACCACGTAGCTGTCGGAAGCCTGGCCCAACAAGTGGCGCGGCGCCGCCGTCGCGCTGCCGCTGCAGGTAAGGGCCCCGCGGATCAGGTTGGCCGCTCGTGACGGAACCAGATCCCAAGCCAGGGCTAAGGGCAGCTGCCGTGCCCGCCAACGAGGATCGACCGGTCTCGAAAGCCCCCAACCTGGCCCCCTGCGCCCTCAGGCGTGCCTGCGCCGCGGCGACGTCCTTCGCGCTGGACCCCGTCGTGCGCATGAGCGTCGCCACTCCAGTCTCGACGCCCTCGATCCTGGTCCCCATGGTGGCGTTGATCGAACCGATGTAGTACTGGGCCTAGTTCAAGTGAGCAGGGTCCGTCGGCGGGGGCGGCGGCGGCGGCATGGGAGGGCCTCTCCCTCGCCAGGGATGCCTGCCGCCGTTGGCGCAGCTCGCTCCGCTGCCGCCTGCCCGTCCCCGTCGCCGAGTCCCATGCCGTCGTCGGTGTCAGCGGCCTCGATGCCCTCGTCATCGAGTTCCAACTGGCCCCGTCCAGCCACACAACGGCGTTGATCGCGCTTCCGAGCGAAGCCGCCCTCTGCTGCTGCGCTTCCCGAGGCAAGCGTGGAGGCTTGGGGCGCTTGGAGTGCAGGAGTCGCCATCCGTGCCGCTGCGAAATGCGCGGCAGATGACTGGAACTCACAACCTCAACTCGGGCGAAGTCGCGCAACAGAAAAACCGCAAGCCAGGCAGGGCAGCCTGACCAGGGCGTGCGATATCCAGTGCTCCCTGGGTGTCGCCTTGAGCCAACATGGACGACGACGACGACCGACGACGACGACGATCACAGACGATGACGACGACGACGGCGACGGACGACGGACGACGACCGACGACGATCACAGACGATGACGACGACGGCGACGGACGATGGACGACGGACGACGACGACGATGACGACGACGACGACGGACGACGACGACGACAATAGACGGTGCCGCAGACGACGACGACGACGACGACGACGACGACGACGACGACGGACGACGACGACGACGACGATTGCGGCCGCGGCGGCGGCGGCTCCGACGGCGAGGCGGTGCGCCGCGAGCGCGCCGTCGTGGGCGAAGGCGTTGAGGGCGATGGAGGCCAGGTTGCACACCGCGACCTCTCGGCGCGGGGCGCGGGCCGTTAGGCAGCAAATTCCCACGGAGGTCTGCCGTCGCCGTCGTCGCCGCCGCCGTCGCCGCCGCCGTTTGTCGCCGCCGCCACCGCCATCGTCGTCGTCGTCGTCGTCGCCGCCGCCGCCGGCTTCGTCGTCGTCGTCGTCGTCGTCGTCGTCGTCGTCGTCGTCGTCGTCGTCGTCGTCGTCGTCGTCGTCGCAGCGCGACGGCCGCGGGCCGGCCGCGCCGCCGCACCTGTGGTCGTCGCCGCTGGGGCACCAGAAGCCCCACGCGGAGGTCCACTGGGGGCGGCCTCCCACCCGACGGTGCCCCCGCCGCGAGCTGAGGCGGTCCGCGACGGTTCCTCCTCCTCCTCCTCCTCCTCCTCCTCCTCCTCCTCCTCCTCCTATCTCGCGCGTGGGGCGGGGGGGGAGGCAGGGGGGAGAAGAGGAGGGGCGGAGAGAGGGGGGGGGGACGGAGCACCAACCGAAGGAATCGACCAGCGCAGGAATAATCAGCATCTAAAAACCAAGGGTTGTGATACACGCCATGTTTGGGGGGTCGGCCTGTTGTTCCTCCCTTGACCGTGCCATGTCTGGATTCCCTTCAGGCCCCGCTCCACCCTGGCAATGGCCGTTTCGTCGGCCGCTTCTCGACCGCTGTGCGCCTGGGGTGGCGCTGCAGCCGCTTCCAGGCGTGAAGCACGGAGAGCCGAACACTGGCTCGGTGCCCCACCTCAGGCGCTTTCTCCCCCTCCTCCTCTTCTTCCTCCTCGTCCGCATCCTCCTCCTCATCACCACAACCACAACCAACCACCACCACCACCACCACCGTCGTAGTCGTCGTCGTCGTCGGCGGCATCGTCATCACAGATCGGGAGAGGGCAAGGGGCGGAAATGTAGACGCCAGCTGCTAAATCAAGCCGGAGCCTTCTTTGAGCCAGCGACTCATGCGTCTACGGATAGGTCCAGCCTACTATCCCGACAGTGACCGGAACAAAATCATTAGCAATATCTTCAGTATCCTCCTCATCACCACAATCACCTTCGTCCACATGACCATCATCGTTGTCATCGTCATCGTAATCATCATCAGCATCAACATCATCACCACCACCATCACCGTCGCCATCACCATCAGCATCATCATCACAAACAACAGCATCATCATCAGTATCAGCATCATCATGATCACCGTCATCATCGTCATCGCCATCACCATCGCATCATCGTCATCATAATATTCATCATCAATATCATCATCTGCATAATAATAAAAATAATCATCATCATCATCATCATCATCATCATCATCATCATCAGCATCCACATCATCATGATAATCTTCGTCACCAACATCATACTCGGCATCAGCATCACCATAGGCATCGCCATCAATATCACCACCACCATCACAATCATCATCATCATCATCACCATCATCATCATCAGCATCATCATCATCATCAGCATCATCATCATGATCATGATCATGATCATCATCATCATCATCATCATCGACATCATCATCATCATCATCATCATCATCCCCAACATCATCATTATCATCATCAACATCGGCATCGGCATAATAATAATCACCATCACCGTCATCACAGCCATCGCCATCATCATGCCATCAGCATCAGCATCAGCATCATCATTGTCATGATGAGCATCAGCATCATCATCAGCATCATCATATGCATCTCCAGCATCAACATCAACATCACCACCATCGGCATCATCATATCATCAGCATCAGTATCATCATCCTCATCATCCTCATCATCCTCATCCTCATCCTTATCATCAGCATTAGCATGAGCTTGAGCATGAGCTTGAGCATGAGCATGAGCATGAGCATGATCATGATCATGAGCATCAGTATCAGCATCATCATCATCATCATCATCATCATCATCAACATCATCAACATCATCATCATGACCACGACCACGACCATGACCATCTCCAGCACCCTCCTCCTCCTCCTCCTCCTCGGCGGCGGCATCACCACTACCAGCAAACTCAGCACGAATATCAGCCTCACGTCCCTCCTTGTGCTCATATTCTGCTCGTCCTCCCCATGCTTTCCATCCCCCGTACCTGCTCCCCCCCTGCACCTGCTGCTGCTCCATCTCGTGCTCGTCTTCATCCTCTTCCTCCTCCCTCCCCTTCTCCTCATGCTCCTCCTCCTCCGCCGCCTCCTCCGCGTTCGCCTCCGCCGCCTTCGCCTCCGCCTCCGCCTCCGCCTCCGCCTCCGCCTCCTGCTCTTCCGTGGGTGAAACCCATATTCACCTCCCCCTCCTCCGCCTAGAATTCCTCCCATCGCCTTCCTCATCCTCCTCGACCCCCTCCTCCTGCTCCTCGTCCTCTCGCCCTTGCGGCCCCAGCGCAGGACAGGACACCGCCACGAACCAGGCTCGGCCGTGGGTGGTCGGCGCCGAGGCGGCCAGAAGCCGTCGCCTCGCCGCGCGGGCGGGCTGCACCTTCGAGCGCTCGCGCCAGGCCCCGCCTCGCCTGCGGCAACGCTTACGCTGCGCTGCCGCGGCCACCAGAGGGCACGGCACGGCCACGAGCGGGGCAAGGCCAGGACGCAGGAGGCGACGGGTGACCTGGTCCATGGCCAGCGGTCCACGGCTCCTCTCGGACGCAAGAGGTGGGCGGCCCTCCCTCGTCCCCTCTGGACACCGCTTCTCCTTCTTCCTCGTGCGGCTGCGGATCCTCCTCCTCTTCATCTTCCTGCTACTGCCGCTGCTGCCGCTCCTCCGCCTGCTCCTCCCGCCCCTCTCCCCTCGACCTCTTCATGCTCCTCCTCGTGCTCCTCCTCGTCCGTCTCCTCCTCCTCCTCCTCCTCGTCCTCCTCCTCGTCCTCCGCCTCCTCGTGCTCCTCCTCCACCTCCTCCTCCTCTTCCTCCTCCTCCTCCGCCTCCGTCTCGGTCTCGGCCTCCTCCTCCTCCTAGCCTCTCTCACTATTCGCCATCGTCCCTCCTCCTCCTCCTCCTCCTCCTCCTCCATAGCTTCTCCTTATAGATAACTTCTCCATGCCGCACCCCGAGGCCAACTGTTAGGAAGGGACTGGCGTTTCGCCTGATATTTCCTCACCATGTATGATCCTGGAGCGTAAGAAGTGACAACGGTTTCGCAGATGGAAGGCGGGCGGTTCTCAAAATGTGGCTCTCGCCTTAGCGCCGCGCACATTCTTTTAAACATTTGCAAAAGTTTCACGGATTGAGGGCGGGTGGTTTTCAAAATGTGTCTCTCGCCTCAGCGCCGCGCACATTCGGTTTAAACATTTGCAAGAGCTCCACGGACTGAGGGCGGGTGGTTTTCAAAGTGTGGCTCTCGCCTTAGCGCCGCGTACAGTCGTTTTAAACATCTGCAAGAGTTTCACGGATTGAGGGCGGGCGGTTTTCAAAATGTGGCTCTCGCCTTAGCGCCGCGCACATTCGTTTTCAACATTTGCAAGACCTTCACGGATTGAGGGCGGGTGGTTTTCAAAATGTGGCTCTCGCCCTAGCGCCGCGCGCATTCAATTTAAGCATATGCAAGAGCTTCACGGATTGAGGGCAGGTGGTTTTCAAAATGTGGCTCTCGCCTTAGCGCCGCGCGCATTCGTTTTAAACATTTGCAGGAACTTCACAGATTCAATGGTGTTTTGGAAAGGGTTCAGGAGCACGTGGGTGCAACAGTTATTTTGATTCGCTGTGTTGAAATCGTAAAAATGGCGTTATGGCACGGTTCCGGATCGCCAAAATGCAGCAGTCAGGTTGATACGTGGCGTTGAAATCCCGAGAATAATGTTTTGGCATGTTTCAGGATCTTCAAAAGGTTGTCTTCCAACGAGGCAGTTCCCTCAATGGGAATGAACCGTCCTAGGGGTCTATGAAGGGGGAGCTTGGAGGAAGGGTGAATTCCAGCATCGTTGATGACTCTTGGGTTTACACTGGTCCTCCTCCTCCTCCTCCTCCTCCATCTGTTCCTCCTCCTCCTCCTCCTCCTCCATCTCCCTCCTCCTCCCACCTGCTCCTCCGTCCTGATTCATCCTTCTCCCTTCCGAACCCCACCCTGCCGAGTACGCTCTCGTTGTGGCAGCGCCGGCCTCGTCGGCCGACGTGTACTCGATGATCTCGGTGCAGAGGTTCGAATTGTGAATGACGCCTGCGGGAGCCCCCGGCTCGGGACGACAGGGGCAGAGCAAGCAGCCCAATATTAGTCAACCTCGAATCGGTAAGCCGGATCGAATCGGAATGTGTGTCGGATCCGGCCGCATCGAGACGGAGTCGGAGTCAAATCGGATCGGCTGCGCCCGAATACTATGCAGGCGTGAGGCCGCATCGGGTCGTCGGTACATCGGAGTCTCGTCGGATCGTGCCAGCCGCCATCGACATCGAATTGGACCGAACGAGTCGGAATGGAACCTGCTCAGCCCTGTGAAGTGTGTGTGTGTGTGTGTGTGTGTGTGTCCGGGCGAAGCCCCGACGATGGCTTTCGCGGGAAACGGCGCGAGAGGATCACCTGGGGGGCGCCGTCCTGGTGACGGAGGCTGACGAGGGCTGGACGCCCTCTGGCCTGCGAGCCGCAGCCCCGACCCAGACCGAGGGGAAAACAAACCGCTCATGGCCGCGCCTGGCCGCCTTCGCTGGCGGGCGCGTGCAAGGCGACGACGCTGCTTTGCAGAGAGGAGTAGGATGAGAAGGAGGAGGTGGAGGAGGACGAGGGGGAGCAATAATAAAAGGAGAAGGAGGAGGAAGAGGAGGAGGAAGAGGATGAGGAGGATGAGGAGGAGGGGGAGGAAGAGGAGAAGCAGGAGAAAAAGATGAAGAATAATAAGAAGACTAATCATAAGAAGAAGAAGCAGAAGAAGGAGGAGGAGTGGAGTGGAGTGGAGTGGAAGCCCGATTCGCGCGGCGACCGCGCAGGGCACTCAGACCATATAGAAAAGCACGAAGATAACGGAGACAACTGGTGTGACAAGGGAGAAGAGGAATAATATTGTGAAAACGCCGACAATGACGATGAAATTGAACAAGTAGATCGTGAAATTGATGACGACAATGCAACCCTCGTTCTGGTGGTTAGCCTGCGGCTCTCCGTCGTGCGCCAGGGCGGTCACGACGTCATTCGTCGCATAGTGTGCCCAATGTCCACATTGTAATAGCCGATGGAGTTAGTTCACTCAGCACCATCTGGCAGCCGCGCAACTCCGCCTCTGGGAACGTTTGGTTCCCCAGATAGCTGAAGCCCTGGAAGAGAGAGCGCTGCCTGTCCGGGGCCTGGATCCAGATGGCCCAGCCGCAGCAGGCGTGCGTGTCTCTGCGGCCACCGTCGAAAGCAGCGGAGAGGCGCCACGGCCAAGCCGGCTGCCATGGTAGCGCCTCTGCCAGCCCCATGCGCAGGGAACGGCGCTCCGCCACTGCGTGCGTGGCCATTGCGTCCGCTGTCTTGTTGTTCTCCCGGTACACGTGGTGCACCAAGCACTGTCCCACCTGCGGCGGCCTCGCTCCCCTGTGCCTCGCGGAGACTCGGTAGCAGCGTTTGGTTCCTGCAGCGGGCGCGTCTTTCCACCCAGTCGACCACGATCTGGCTGTCCCCTTGGATGATCAGGAGCGGTTCCGCTGGGCCCTGTCTGGTCCATTGTGTGGGCTCTGTGAACCTCACGGCGCGTGGCGGCCGTGGCGGAGGCTCCGCTGGGGCTCTGTGCTGGCGACGACGCAGGGCAGCCAAGTGCTTGCCTCCCATACTGTAGCGCTCCAGGACGGCGGTGACAAAGTCCCCCCTCGTGTGCTGTGCTGTCTTCAGGATGTTTTGGCGCCATGCCTGGCCGCGCCAATGGATGAAACAATCTTCGTACGTCGCCACACGTTTCCAGCCGGTGCGATGCCGCCACCGCGGCTTCTCCTTGATCTGATTCCACGGCGTTTTCGGCCAGCTACGCTCAAGTCGGACGACCTGGACTTCGTCGCGCCACTGAGTCTCAGGTAGATGGTGCATGAAAGCAGACACCTGCCTCGGTACTGCGTTAGCACGCCCGAAATTGTCGAGCACGAAACCATGTTGTCGTTCCAGAAGCCGTTCCTTAACACTTTTGTGCCCGAGAGCCAAATACTGTTTCCGCGCCGACTTCGTGGCTCGACGCAAGTACCTAGCTATGGCTTCTCCTGGTTTCTTGCGGACGCCGGCCATCTTGCGCAGCATGCCCCCTTCCATCTGCTTGAGGCGGAGCACCAATGAGTTCGTGAGCACCCAGCTCTCGCAACCGAACAGCAGCGTCGCCGGCATCGTTTCCGAGTACAGTGAGAACCTCTCCTTCAGAGACAGTTCGCGTGATCGGAGCGCAGTGGTGGCGTAGAAGGCCTTGACAGCGAGGCGCTCTCTGTGCTGTACTGCGTTGGCTGTGGCACCCGTGCGGTGCAGCAGCGTGCCCAGCACCATCGTCTCCTCGACTTCGGGCACAAGCCGCGTTCCAACGACAGCACGGACCTGCAGCGCGCGGTTGCCGGGTGCCGCTGTGACACCTGTGTACCCTTCCGGACTCGCCGCGAGAAATTTCGTCCTCAGGCCGGGAAGGAGGAGGACGAGGAGATGAGGAGGAAGAGGAGGGAGAGGAGGGAGAGGAGGAGGACGATAAGGAGGATGAGGGGAGGAGGATGAGGAGGGAGAGGAGGAGGACGAGGAGGAGGAACACCAGGACGAGGAGGAGGAGGAGGAGGAGGAGGAGGAAGAGGAGAGGAGGAGGAGGAGGACGACGAGTAGGAAGAGAAGGAGGATAATAGACGAGGGGGGAGAGACGAAGGAGGAGGAGGAGTTGGAGGAGGAGGAGGAGGAGGAGGAGGTGAGGAGGAGGTGGAGGAGGACGAGAAGGAAGAGGGGGAAGAGGAGAAAGAGGAGAAGAAGGAGGAGGATCATGACATTGAGGAGAGACGAGGGAAGAGGATGAGGAGAGGGAGAAAAGAGGATGAGGAGGAGGAGGAGGAGGAGAAGAAAGGAGGAGCGAAACGAGGAGGAAGAGAAGGAGGAGGAGAAGGAGGAGAAGGAGTAAGAGGAGGAGAAGGAGGAGAAGAAGGAGGACGAGGAAGAGGAGAAAGAGGAGGAGGAGAAGGAAAGACAAGGGAGGAGAGACGAGGACGACGAGGAGGAGGATGAGGAGGAGCAGGAGGAGGAGGAGGGCGAGGCGGAAGAGGAGGATGAGATGGAGGTGGCGGAGGAGGAGGAGGAGGAGAAGGAAGGGAGGATGATGACGGAGGAAGAGGAGGAAAAAAGGAACATGATGATGATGAGAGAAGGAGAGGAGGAGGAGGAGGAGGAGTTCGCGGGGAGGAACAGGGGGGAGGAGGAGGAGGAGGAGAGAAGGAGGAGGAGGAACATGAGGGGGAGGAGGTGGGGAGGGGAGTGGAGGAGGAGGAGGAAGAGGAGGAGGAGGAGGAGGAAGAGGAGGAGGAGGAGGAGAAGGAGGAGGAGGGGGAAGAGGAGGTAGGAGGAAGAGGAGGTGGATGATGAGGAGGAGGTGGAGGAGGGACGAGGGGGAGAAAGGGGAAGAGGAGGAGGAAGAGGTGGAGGTGGAGGAGGAGGAGGAGGCGGAGGAGGAAAACGATGAGGAGGAGCAGGCGGAGGAAGGCGGCGAGGAGGAGGAGGTGGAGGAGGAGGTGGAGGAGAAGGAAGAGAAGGTGGAGGAAGAGGAGGAAGTGGAGGAGGATCACGAGGAGGAGGAGGAAGAGCAAGTGGAGGAGGAGGAGGAGGAACAGGAGGAAGAGGAGGAGAAGGAGGAGGAGGACGCGGAGGAGGAGGAAGAGGAGGAGGAAGATGAGGAAAGGGAGGAGGAGGAGGAGGAAGAGCAGGAAGTGAGGAGGAGATGAATGCGGATACGGAGGAGGAGGAGGAGGAGGAGGAACATGAGGAATAGGAGGATAATGGTGAAGAGATGGAGGAGAAGGACGAGGAAGGGGAAGAGGAGGACGAGACGGATGAGGAGGAAACGGGGAAGGAAGAGGAGGAAAAGGAGGGGGAGGAGGAGGAGGACCGATGAGGAGGATGCTGATGATGATGATGATGATGATGCTGATGATGATGATGAGGAGGAGGAGGAGGAGGGAGGAAAAGGAGAAGGCGGAGGCGGAGGAGAAGGAGGAGAAGGCGGAGGAGGAGTAGGAGAAGGAGGAGGAACATGAGGCGAAGGAGAATCTCGGGATCATGACACACCTAGCAGTACGTTTCCTCGCCTCGGAGATGGGCGTTAGCCAACCCATCACTCAGTAGTGACACTCTACTGGCGAAGCTTTCGGCGACAAAGCGCCAATCAAACAATAAACGATTTCAACTAGAAATGAGTGGCGTAGCGTTGGTAGAAGCGCAACTGTCTGATTGCGAAAGCACGCGAGCCCGCGCGATGCTTCATGCCCAATCAGGCTACTCCGAGAGAGGTGCGAGCAGCACGGTTGGCACGAACGAATTCGAACACATTTCGGCCGCGAAGACCGACGATGCGAGCACGACCAGGAAAAGCAATACAATTCGCAAGGGCGAAACATTAAAACACAAGTCTGGGCACATAGCAATGCGACGGCGGCTATCAAGGCAAGCGTAACTTCACTAACCGCTGAAGGTCGCGCAAACAAGCGCTTGGCCGAACAAAAAAACATGATATCACCACGAACCCCGACCTTGGAGGACAAATGGGGGCTCCTGCGATGCGAGCTCAGCACGTGGCCATGCGAGCCACTGTGGGGGGACGCGTGGCTTGCGAGCAAGTGAACTGCAAAGAAAAACGTGCATGCGGGCCACCAGTTTTGATAGGTCCGTGCGTTGCAGGTGAGATGCCAAGAGGGCACCTCACGGTGGTTCCCGTGTTGTCCGTTTGAGGTGGTGGCGCTTTGTCGGGGTGTCTCCAGACACCCTGGGGTCCTCTGGAGCAGTGTTGGGGCCCTCTTGGCAATATCTGGGGGCCTCCTGGTCGTGGGATGAACGCTGGTTCCCGTGTTGTCCGTTTGGCGGCGTCTCCAACCATCCTGGGGCCCTCTTGGGCAGTCTTGGGGCCCTGTTGGGGGCGGCTGGGGACTCCCCGGAGGCCCGTTCCAAGCTCGTCGGGGCCTCTTGAAAGCCTCTCGGGGGTCTCCTGGGGGCCCGTCGGGGCCTCCTGGGTGTTTTTTGGCCTGGGGAACCCGAAATGTAAGTCCCTGCCGCCTCTCTGAAGTTTTCCTAGGCATTCCTGAAGCTTTCGGAGGCTGTCTTCGAAGCCTCTTGCGCCGTCTCGAAAGCGTGTTGGACTGGTCTGGGCACTCCTGGGGGCCCCCCAGGCCGTCTGCGGGCGGCCTTTGAGACCTCTTGCGCCGCCCCCGAACGTCGGGGAGCCGAGGCGCCGAAACCCGAAAGACATTTAGAAAACCAGCGAAGACCAATAAATTTTGACACGCGGGGCTCTCTGGGAGGGCCTCTCAGGCCTCCCGAGGCGTCCTAGGAGCGCCGAGGGCCGTCTGGGCGCGATGTTTGGGGCCTCCTGGGGGCCTTGCGGGGCCTCCGGGGGGTCCTTTTGCGCGGTGAGCTTGAAATGTAAGTTCCTGCCCTTTTTCTAAATGCTTCCTGGGGGCGTTCCTGGAACCCTTGGAGGCCGTCTTGGAGGCGTCTTGGGCCGTCTTGAGAGCGTGTTGGACTGTCCGAGCGCTCTCCTGGAGGCCTCTTAGGCCGTCTTGGGGCGGTATTTGGGTCCTCTTGGGCTGTTTTGGAGCGTCGGCAAGCCGAAAACGTGGAAATCCGAGAAACTTTCAAAAACCCAGCGAAAACCAATACATATTGACACTTGGGGCTCTCTGGGAGGGCCGAATTCGGGGGCCTCCCGAGGCGCCCTGGGAGTTCCCTGGGCCGTCTGGGCGCGATGTTTGGGGCCTGCTGGAGGCCGCGCGGGGCCTCCGGGGGGTCATTTTGGGCGGTGAGCTTGAAATGCCGGTTGCTGCCTCTACTCTGGAGGTATGTTTGGGCCGTTCCTGGAGCCTTCGGACGCCGTCGTGGGGGCCTCTTGGGCCGTCATGAGGGCGCATTGGGCTGTCTGGGCGTCTTCCTGGGGGCATCTGAGGCCGTCTTTGGGCGGTTTGGGGGCCCTCTTGGGCTGTCTTGGCGCGTCGGCAAGCCGAAGACGCGAAAACCCGACAAACATGCAAAAACCAAAGGAACACCAATGCATTTTGACACTGGGGGCTCTCTGGGAGGGCCACTCGGAAGCCTCCCGAAGCGTCCTGGAAGCCCCCTGGGCCATCCGGGCGCGATCTTGGACGGCCTGGATCGACCCGACGGCGACTCGTGGCCCTCTCGGAACATATTGCCGACCATCTTGGGGCCGCCCGCGCCGCGCGGAAGCGCGTCTGCCGAAATGGGGCCGTCTTCCGCCGTCTTCCGCCGGCGTTCCCCCCGCGGCCGGGAGGGGGCCCCGGGCCCCCCCCCCAGGCCCCCCAGGGGGGGCACCAAACGGGAACCCATCCTCAAGGTCGGGAAAAAAAATGACGCACAAAGGCGTCGCGCATGAGCGCGAACACGAGCGCGACGCGCACGCTCGAACAAAACGCGCGCGAATCGCGGTGAACGCGCGCGCGCGCGAGGGCGATGGTAGATCCTGTAGTCACAGCGCGACGCAAGCTTGCGCTGCGAATTCGAATCTCGCCAGACGCGCTCCTTAGGGCAATCGGAAAAGCGGCGCGTAGCCATCGTTGCACGGGGCGCTCGGCGCCACAGCGTGACGCGATCATGGAACTTAAGCCGCCCGAGAGCGGGGGGGGCGCCGAGGGGGGAAAGGAGGGAGTGGAAGAGAGCGAGGATGGCGAGGGGGATGCAGGGATGAAAGGGGGGAGAGGGAGGATGACTGGGGAAGCGGGGAGTAGGAGGAGAAGACGGGGGAGGAGCAGGAAAGGGAACGGAACGAACGGGGGGGTGGAGGATCGCGAGGGGGGGGTTTAGGCCGCGCCTACCTCCTCCAGACTCTTCCGGGCCATCCTGCGGCGATTTGTGCTACCCCATCGGGGCGCGCTGGGCGCTCTGCAACCTGTGAAGGTGTAGGCGCGAACACCAATTCCATTTTTAGTCTTAGCAGTCTGGCGGCGCCCCGGGCGCGCCTTCACGGACCAATTGCAGCATTTTTGCGGGCGCCCGTATTGTTTTCAAGCAGTTTGGGGTACCATTGGACCCACTGGGCGACCGCATCAAGCTTCCGACCCTCGCGCGCGATCACATTGAGCAACGTCGGCCGTCTCTGGGAGCTCTGAATATAACCAGCGATAAATACTGGAAGGGTCAAATGTTGAACCTTTCTTATCGTGAAGTCGTCGTGGCGTTGACCCTTCTTAGCGTCGCGAGTGCGGTTTCCACCCGTGCTTCCGTCGACCAACGACCCTGGCCGCCGCCCTCGCTGGCCTCGAGATGTCCTGTTCACATCGGCATGCATCTGGAACTCTCCTGGGCCCCTGTGGCGCTCCTGGGGCTCTCTTAAGCGCCCCCTGGGGCGGTGATGGGGTCTTCTTGGGCCTCTGGGGCTCTCTCGGACAGTCTTGGGATCCGTTCGGGGCGTCGTGTCGAGGGGCCTCTTGGGGCTCGTTTGTCGGCGATGTGAAAAGCCTATGGGATCACATTGGGCCCTCTCGGGTTATGACGCAAATTCCAAGCCGCGTTCAGCCGCGCCACAGAGCATCGCCCTATGGAGCCAAACAGAATAACGACAACGGAAGGGGCGTCGGCGTCGGTGTCGTCGCACCGTCTTCCCCTTGGGAGATGCCGTGGGAATGGTCAAATCCTGCCCCCGCTGCTCCTCGCACCCCCCCCGCCCGCCCCCTTTCCTGCCCCCTGCAACTGGGCGGCCCTTGGGGGTGTTCATCACGAAGCGAAAGCGGCGCAAGCGCGGGGCGGAACTGGATCGCCTCGACAAAATGCCCGGCCAGACTGCCCGACAAAATGCCCGACAAAATGCCCGACAAGATCGCAGGGGCAACGCCGTGGCTGTGAATTTTCAATACATCCGCCCAGCCGCCGATGCCAAGAATAATTTTGTCGCTGCACTTTTTTTCAACAGTTTGTCATGGCGGCCGTTTTTTTTTGTCGGGCCGGTGCTTCTTTTTTGTCGGGCCATTTTGTCGGGGCCTCTGTTTTTTTTGTGTCTGCCCATTTTGTCGTGGCCACTTTTTTTTGTCGGGCATTTTTTTGTCGGTCCACGTGTTGTTTTTTGTCGGCCCGCCTGCTTTCTTTCTGTCGTCGGCCCCTTGCGGGCAACGCCCCCGGTGCAAGGCGGGGGGGAGAATGCGGGCGGCGAGGGGGGGCAGGGGGAGCGCACGCGCACGGCGCAGGAGGAGCAAGAGGAGGAGCGGAGGAACGGGAGGAGCAAACAGACTCAAAGAAAACCCCAAAACATCTCGCAGGCCCGAGAAGGCCCCGACACCGCCCGAAGAGGCGCCTGAGAGCGCCCCAAAAGGGCCCCAAGGGCCAAAGAGAGCCCAAAAGGCCGATGTGACCAGGCATTTCGATGCCAACGAAGGTGGCGGTCAGGGTTGTTGGTCGACAGAAGCACGGAGAGCAACCATATCCATCACGCTAATGTGATATTACCACGAACCCCGACTTTGGAGGACAAATGGGGGCTCCTGCGATGCGGGTTCAGCACGTGACCATGCGAACCACTGTGGGGGGACGCGTGGCTCGCGAGCAAGTGAAGTGCAAAGAAAAGCGTGCATGCGGGCCACCAGTTTTGATAGGTCCGTGCGTTGCAGGTGAGATGCCAAGATGACACCTGACGTTGGTTCCCGCGTTGTCCGTTTGAGGTGGTGACGATTTGTCGGGGTGTCTCCAGACATCCTGGGGTCCTCTGGAGCAGTGTTGGGGCCCTCTTGAAAGTATCTGGGGGCCTCCTGGTCGTGGGATGAACGCTGGTTCCCGTGATGTCCGTTTGGCTGCGTCTCCAACCATCTTGGGGCCCTCTTGGGCCGTCTTGGGGCCCTGTTAGGGGCGGCTGGGGGCTTCCCGGAGGCCTGTTCCAGGCTCGTTGAGACCTCTTGAAAGCCTCTCGGGGGTGTCCCGGGGGCCCGTCGGGGCCTCCAGGGTCCCTCTTGGGCCGGAGAACCCAAAATGTAGGTCCCCGCCGCCTCTCTGGAACTTTCTTGGGCATTCCTGAAGCTTTCGGAGGCCGTCTTGGAGGCCCCTGGGCAGTCTCGAGAGCGCGTCGGACTGGTTGGGTGCTCTCCCGGGGGCCTCTCAGGCCGTCTTGGGGCTGTCTTTGGGGCCTCTTGCGCCGCCCCGGAACGCCGGGGGGCCGAGGGCGCCGAAACCCGAAACAAACAATTATAAAACCAATGAAAACCAATAAATTGTGACACGGGGGGCTCTCTGGGAGGGCCTCTCGGAGGCCTCCCGAAGCGTCCGAGGAGCGCCGAAGGCCGTCTGGGCGCGATATTGGGGGCCTCCCAAGGGCCTTGCGGGGCCTCCGGGTGGTCCTTTTGTGCGGTGAGCTTGAGATGTAGGGTCCTGCCCTTCTTCTACATGCTTTCTGGGGGCGTTCCTAGAGCCTGCGGAGGCCGTCATGGAAGCGTTTGGGGCCGTCTTGAGAGCACGTTGGACTGTCTGAGCGCTCTCTTGGAGGCCTCTCAGGCCGTCTTGGGGAGGTCTTTGGGCCCTCTTGGGCTGCGTTGGAGCGTCGGCAAGCCGAAAACGTGGAAACCCGAGAAACTTTCAAAAACCCAGCGAACACCAAAACATGTTGACACTGGGGCTCTCTGGGAGGGCCGAATTCGGGGGCCTCCCGAGGCGCCCTGGGAGCTCCCTGGGCCGTCTGAACACGATGTTTGGGGCCTGCTGGAGGCCGCGCGGGGCCTCCGGGGGGTCATTTTGGGCGGCGAGCTTGAAATGCCGGTTGCTGCTTTTACTCTGGAGGTCTTTTTTTGGGCCGTTCCTGGAGCCTTCGGACGCCGTCACGGAGGCCTCCTGGGCCGTCATGAGGGCGTCTTGGACAGTCTGGGCGCCTTCTCGGGGGCCTCTGAAGCTGTTTTCGGGCGGTTTTGGGGCCCTCTTGGGTTGTTCTGGTGCGTCGGCAAGCCGAAGACGCGAAAACCAGAAAAACCTGCCCCCCCCCCCCCTAAACAAAAATACATGTTGACGCTGGGGGCTCTCCGGGAGGGCCTCTCGGAAGCCTCCCGAAGCGTCCTGGAAGCTCCCTGGGCGATCCGGACGCGATCTTGGACGACCTGGATCGACCTGATAGCGGCTCGCGGCCCTCTCGGAACATCTTGCCGACCATCTTGGGGCCGCCCGTGCCGCGCGGAAGCGTGTCTGCCGAAATGGGGCCGTCATCCGCCGTCTGCCGCCGGCTTCCGCCGGCGCAGGGCGGGGGGGAGGCGCAGGGGGACAAGCCGGAGGAACGGGGGAAATGGAGTGGAGGATAACGACGGGGATTCAACAGGAGGGCACGGCAGAAAGCAAGGATGACGAGGGGGGGGAAGGGCGAGAGGGGGAGGGGGGGCGGGAGGGGGAATGGGGAGTGAAAGGAGGAGGTGGGGGAGGAGCAGGACGGGGGGGATCGATGGAAGAGGCGGGGGATCACGGGGGGGAGGTGGAGGTTGTAGGCCGCGTCTACCTCCTCTGGACTCATCTGGGCCATCCTGCGGCGACTCTTGCTGCCCCACCGGGGCGTGTTGAGCGTTCTGCGCCCTGCAAAAGCGCGGGCGCGAACGCCATTTCCATCTCTTCTGTCTTGGCGGAATAATGGGGTCCCGGGGGCGCCTCCGTTGACCGTGATCATCCGGTCTGCGGGCGCCCGTGCTGCTTTCGAACAGTTCCGGATACTATTGGAGCCCTTGGGCGATCGCATCGTGCTTTCGACCTTCTCATATGGTCATTTTTAACCATGTCGGCCGTCTGTGGGGGCTCTGAGAAAAACCAAGCGAAGAACATTGGAAGGGTCAAATGTTTGACTTTCTCCGAACGTGGAATCGTTGCAATTCGGGCCCTTTTTCCCCGACCTCGAGGAGGGGTTCCCGTTCAGTGCCCCCCTGGGGGGACTGGGGGGGGGCCCCCGAGCCTCCCTCCCGGCCACGGGGGGGGGGCCCATCCCGATCCGCGCGCGGGCACAAGGACGTGAGGGTCGGGGGCAAGTACAATGTTCAGATACGCCACGGGGCGCGACCTGCGCGCGGGCACATATCGCGATGGTTGGGAACAATATATAACGATGCTAAGGTGTTAAAATTCGCCGAGTGGTGCGATCCGTGACCGGGCACAGGGATCGTAAAGGCCGGGGGTAAGATTGGACGATGTTTAAACCCGCCGACGGCGCGATTTACGAGCAGGCAAAGAGATCGCGAGGGTTGGGTGTCCTCCAGGCGCCTGTGACACGGCCGCAGGACCCGCGCTGTGGGCGTCCACGTATCATAGCGGAAACGCGCCATGCAATGATGCGCAATGCAGCGGCCAACGTCACGGCGCACCGCGGAGCGCCGCTTTTTGCGCGCATGATGCGTGAGATTTTTGCGACACGCGCATTGAATCTGTGTGATTGGGCCTTAGGGACAAGATCTGATGCATGCGTTATGATAACGGTGGAACAGCCCAAGTGGTGGCAATAAAGACACTCGCGCGATGCATGGGCGGCGGTTGGCCCCGGTCCAAGTTGGGACGTGCGCGCGACAACGCCACCCTCCGGCGCCGCCAAAACAAATTTCAAAAAATGCAAAAAAAATGTTGTCGGAACTTCGGTTTTGTTTCCTGGTGGGCGCAAGACCTGACATCACCCCACAGTGGAACATGTTGGCAAGGTGCGGCCAGAACGTGGCTTGGACCCGCGTGCTCTTGCATGACTTGCCCCATCAGGCGCACACAGGGATCAATCGTCTCACGCTCAGGACTTGGGTCGAAGACTTGCGCGCCCGCATGGTTGGCTCCAACAGGTCGTTGCTAGAAACGCTCCCCGAGGCCATGAAGTACATCAAAGCAGGGTTAGTAGATCTTGGGTGTAGGCTCTCCCCTAAGTCGGCCCTCCTGTCGAATGACAATGGCACCAGGAACCAGAGCCAGGGCTCCTGCCTGATAAATGGGACCCCCCTGCACACCAAGTTGGGCACCAGGGACCTTGGCTTAGACTCCACAGTGGGCAAGCGGAGGTATTTCAAGGTTCGCAAAGCTCGACAACGTCTGGGGTTCAGGTGGCACACGAACATCAAGAGACTCCTCAGGGCCAAAAAGAGCGCTCATCGCCTATATCGTGCAGGAGCTCAGCCGCAGCTCCATTGGGGACTCGAAGGCCCTGAAGTCTCCCCCACAGAGCTCACGCAGCATCGGAGGGCAGCTGGAGCAGCCCCAGGGACCAGCAAGCCAGGTAGTTGTCTCACTGCAGGGTTCCACCAGTCGAAGCTCCCGCCAGAAGCCTTGGACCCCGCCATCCTCCATCGCGTGAAATTGTTTGAGATGTGGCGGGATCGCGGCCGCGTGGCCCAACGTAGTTCCCAGGCTCCAGCGGCCCAGGCGCCGGAACCACGTCGTCGGTCAGCTCAGCGCCGCAGCCGGGGCCCTCCTCGACTTCGGGTGGAGCCCAGACTCAGCCTGGTCATGGACCAGCCCCGCCGGCGAGATCGTTCCCGTTGGCCCCGAGAGTTACCGGGAGCAGGATTGTTTCATGTGCAGGATTCAGCATTTCCTTCAACAAAAGGGTTGGAATGGGGCGCAGGGAGGAAATCCGCCGACCCCTTGGGGTTCATCGGCGTGTGAGATGTTCCCCCTCCCCAAACCCCTCTCCCAGGAGCTCGGTCCGGTCGATTTGGAGGGGAGGGGGGGGGGGGCCAAATCCCCCGATTCCCCCGGATTCCCCGGAAGGGGGCATCCGCACCCGAAAATCGCCAGGGACCGCTTCCGAAAATCGTGCAGGGACTCCTCGGTGGCCCAACGAGCGCTCCAAGACGCCCAAGGTGGCCCAAAGACGGGCTACGAGGTCTCCTCGACGGCACAAGAGGCCCCCACGAGTCCCCACGGGGCCTCCGAGATGCGCCCCAAGAGGGTCTCTACACGCAAAAGTTGGCGCATTCCCTTCGTTAAACGTATTTGTTTTCACAAGTTCGCGTTCTGGGTTTTCCGATGCTCCCAGACGGCCCAAGAGGCCCCCAAACCCGCCCCCAGACGGCCCAAGAAACCTCGCAGAGGGTCCCCCAAATAGCCCAAGAGGGCCCCAAGACGGGCCAACAGGCGTCCAAGACGGCCCAAGAGGGCCCCGACAACGGCCCCAAGAGCGCTCCAGGAGCGCTCCGAGTGGCCTCCAAGAGAGAGCTCCACATGGTCCCACACGGTCCAAGAGCGATCAAAGACACCGAAGACGGCCTCCAGACGGCTCAGACGGCTCAAGAGGCCCCCAAGACGCCCCAAGAGGCATCCAAGATGCGCCCCAAGAGGGCCTCAAGACGCACAAAATCGACCGTTCCCTTTGTAAAACGTAATTTGTTCCACACGTGCGCCTTGCGGGGTGCCCCACGCTCCCGGACGGCCCCAGAGCCCCCCAAGACTGCACCAAGACGGCCCAAGAAACCTCCACGAGGGCCCCACGACAGCCCAAGAGGGCGCCAATACGGCTCAAGAGGCGCCGAAGACGGCCCAAAAGAGCCCCGACGACGGCCCCAAGATTGTCCAGGAGCGCCCCAAGTGGCTTTCCAGAGAGCTCTTCATGGCCCCACACGGTCCACGAGCGATCGAAGACACCTGAGATGGTATCCAGCTGGCCCAAGACGCCCCCAAGGGGCCTCCAAGATGCGTCCCAAGGTCCCTAGACGCAAAAAATTGCTCCTTTCCTTCGTAAAACGTCTACTTTTCACAATTTGGCCTCGTGGGTTCCCCGACGCTCCAAGGCGGCCCTCGAGGCCCCGAAGACCGCCCCAACACGGCCCCAGAGGCTCCCAAGACGGCCACACCACGGCCCCAGATGGCCCCAAGACGGCCCAAGAGGTCCCCACGACGGCCCAAGAAGGCTCCAAGACTGCACCAAGATTGGCCCCAGAGGGCAACTCAAAATGTAAAAATCTAGCTCTCCGCCCCCACGAGCCCCAGGGGGCCCAAAACGCGCCCCAAAAGGCCGCCAGAGGCCCCCAAGAAGCCGCCAAGACGCCCCAACGAGCCCCCAAGAGGCCCCGAGGAGGCCTGCAAAAGACCCCCGGACGCTTTCGCACTGCGAGCCGCCAAGCCAAGTGCCATGCACTCCGTGCGTGCAGCCTTGCTCTTCCTCGCGACGTGCTCGCAATCTTGCTCGGCGCTAAGTTGCTGCTGCTGCGCGAACTGTTTCGTGCGCGCTGCGAACGCCAACCGCTTCTTCACCCGTTTCGACTCCTCTGCCACGCCTTTCGCGGTGATGCTTCGCTGATCACAGCTTCCGCACGCTACTCTTGCTCCTGCCCTATCCTGGTGTTTGTTTGTTGTTTTTCCACTTGGTTGAGGGTCGAAAGGCCGACCTCTCAGAAGGACGCCCTGCACCCAAGGCGCTCGCTACACGCGCCCCAGACCACCGGCACCGCGCAAACAGTTCGACCCCCTGCGTATCCGCCACCACCCACGCGCGACTCGCGATCAGATTCCTCGCAACCTTCGTTGCTTCCCGCCGTGCTCGTCACTTGCATCCGCAGGGCGTTTCGGCGGTTCTCTCCGCGGCGCCCGCCCCGCCTTATAGTACTTCGCGCAGACCACCAGATTGCCTCGCTTGAAAAAATCCTTCTTCTGGTCTTTCGACAGATGGCCGCCGTCAGTGAACGTAGGCTTCGATCCGTCCTTCTTCAGGGGACATGCGGAACATTCAAACTTCTTCGCCGACCTCCTGGTCGTGGCACGCCCGGCACACCACCGAGCGATGGTCCGAACCCTTCGCGAAGAAGTGCTCCACTTGCTTATCAGTCAGATGCGCCCTGTCCCTGAACTCTCGCCCTTTCCCATCAGCTTCTCTCGGGCGCGCGGGGCACCTGAGCACTCGCGACTGATTGCGTTCTGGCCCGCGCGGCGCATGACTGGGCGATGGTCTGCGCCCGTCGCGAGGAAGTGCTCCACTTGCTTATTTGTCAGATGCGGCCTGTCCGCGAACTCTCGGCCTCTCCCATCTGCTTCTCTCGGGCGCGCGGAGCACCTGAGCATCCGCGACTGATTGCGTTTTTTCGTGGCACGCGCGGCGCAGAACTGGGCGATGGTCCGCGCCCGTCGCGAAGATGTGCCCCACTTGCTTATCTGTCAGATGCGTCCTGCCCGTGAACTCTCGGCCTCTCCCATCTGCTTCTCTCGGGCGCGCAGAACGCCCGAACATCCGCGATCGCTTGCGATGCGGTTCGCAATCGCGGCATTTCACTGGCATATGGCCTGCGCCCGTCTGATAATAGTGCTTGATTTGATAGGTTGTCAGATGCCCCGCGTCCGTGAATTCCCGCCCTCTTCCGTCTGCTTCTTTTGGGCGCGCCGAACACCTCAGCGGCTGTTGCCGGCGTGCGCTTCGTCGAGCAGTGTTCGTTTCGTTAATGCACTCCGCTTCCTTCTGCGATTGGCTCCACTTGTTCCATCCGCCGTTCCTCTTCCCCGCGCACTTCTTGCAGAGCTTCTCCCCTGCGCCCTTCGTCGCGCACTGGTTCGCCGTAATTTCTGCCTCCGTCTTCAGGAATTCACAGCATTCAGCGCAACGGATCTTGAACTTGTCTCGCACATTCTCCTGCCACCCCTGAGACTCTTTCCGCGACTTCCTCCGGGCTGCTGGCCCTGCGCACCTGTCGCATTTGCTTGTCCGCACGAACGCTCGGATCCTTTCAGACTCGGCCCCCGCCACTCTGGAGGCCATCTCGGCCCATTGGTCACAAGTCGTGCACCACTTTTCCCCTGCCCCCTTCAACATCTCCGTGCACTCGCAGCAGAAGCTCGGGCCCGACTTCGCGACGAACTCATTCGTGCTGAATTCAGCCTTTTCCTTAACCTTCCGACATTTCCCGCATGTTTTCCGCGGCGTCAACCTCTCCTCGATGTCGGGCCACGGCAACGCTTCCCCCCGCGACTTCTGTAGCAACAACCTCGTGCCATCCAACTCTCCTTGAGTGCACGGCTGCCTCCGAAATGGCCGATATATGAGCAGACCCTGCCGAGACTTCACGCGCGTGATGGCCACGTAGCTCGACATCTAGCTCACGTTTCTGCCATCCTCCAAGTCCGCTATTACCGCGCCCAGTGTTCGCCCTTGCGCTGCGTGCTCCGTGCACGCCAACCCAGGCGAAATTATAATCTGTCTCCGTCGCACCCCCAACACGGGCTTCTTTCGATACGAGTCCAGATGCCACGTCCGAGCACGAGGGACTATGGGACACAGCCCTGGTCCCGGCATCCCTTTCAGCGTCCACTTCTCGGGGTGAAAGTCCAACGCGATTCGCCTTGGCATCTTACGCAGGACTCTGGACGACACGTCCTGCACGTCTTCTCCTTCTTCTTCTTCATCCACCACCCATGAATGTATCGTCGCGCGACACCCTCGCAGCAATTGCTTCTCTGATCGGTCCAAAAGGTCCGTCAGCACAACTGGCATGCCCACGGCAAGCGGTAACCATCCTGGCATGTCTGCACAGGCCTTGTCGTGGTATCCGAGCCACCGCACTTTGTCTGCTGAGGTGTACGGTCTTTCCTGGTACGTCGCGTGCGTTGCCTTATCCCGCGCATAAGCCCACGAAATCTGTTTCTTCTGGCACGCAGCCCAGTCTACGGCCCGCTGCCGCGCTACCTTGCACTTCGCATCCTGATTCGGATAAATGGCAGTGGCTTCGACGAACTGCGGAAGTGCGAACCGCTCGTCTGCGGCACTAGTGGCTACGAGACATCGACGCTTTCTTTCTTCTGCACACCGTCCACACTCCAGCTCGTTGTCCTTTGCGATAGCTTCCGCGTTCTGCACGCAGGCCTGCGAACCACACATTGGCCTGTTATTCAACCATGTCCCTGGAACGTCTGTAGGTTTCCCATTCAGAAACTGGTGCGTCCTTTCGGTCAGGGCTCCCCGTCGGAACTCATCTTGTACTCCCAGGAACCACCCGTCCTTTTCTTCCAAGCGCTTGCACTCTACCAATTCCGTCATTCCCGCCACGGACCCTGGCCCCTCGCCCCAGAAGATGTACTGACCATGATCTTCTTCGGCGCCTGGCGCACACTGCCTCGCCTTCCGCGCCCATGACGTCGGAATCGCATTCAATGGGGTTCCGCCGGGAGGTTCCAACTGGTAGAAATCTTAACAGAATAACACATTGACACCTCCAAACGGCCGGTCTACCTTATCGGCACCCCCCTTCCCTTGCCTCGCTGCCGACATCGCAGACCGCAAATGCGCATCCAGCTCTGCAAGGAACTTTGCACTGACCATACTGATTTTGTCGATGATGAGCCAACGCCACTGCTGAATTCGCTTCGCTGCTTCTACTTTCTTTGCACCCGGCTCTCCGCGCTTCTTACTGGTTTCCGTGCTGGCGCCGTACGGAGTCATCCCAAACGCGGCGTGCAACGTGTGCCCATCCAGACTGGACGCGTTCGTGGCTTGTAACGCAGCCACTTGGAAGTCCAGCCCGTGTTCCAAGCCCATGACTCTCTCGAACACGTGTTTCCGTAAGGTGTCTACCACAAAGATCTTCCCTGTGCCTGGGCCTCCGTGCAGCATCCACAGCTAGGGCTCCGAACTGCCGATTGTACCCTCGTCTTCCTGACACTCAGTGATCATCCTGTCTATGACCTTCTCTACGACTTCTCTTTGTTTCTCATTCATATCTACGACGCGTCTGCTGCTGGGTCCGCGCAGTCCTGCTTTCCACCGCCGCAACTCCTCAGCGCCGCCTGCAGGAACCAGTCTCACTCCCCCTTCCTCAATTTCGCAACCCTCCAACCCGCCCCCTCTCATCTTTGTCTGAAATGCCCGAGCTTCTGCTTCCCGTCGCTTCAACTCTTCCTCTGGCGCCTCTACGCGGCCGTCTGTTCTCGCCCGCGCTCCTCTTTTGCCCCGTCCATCTCCGCCTGCCTCTCGGCCCCGCACACGCGTCGATAATGCCATGACTTCTGCGCTCAGCCGACGCGCCTCTGCAACTGCGGCTATCGTTTCCCTTTTATCGCCCTCTAGGCGCGTGCCTCCAACGTGAACGCGCCGCCGGACACCCTCGTCGAGCTCGTCGACGTCCACATCTTCGTCGCTGAACAAGTCATCCTCGTGCTTCCTCCCAGCGCCCTCCCCCTCGGGACGCATGTCGACGACGCTCATGAGATTCTGCACGTGCCTCTTCGACTCTTCGCAAGGCAGCCCTCCATCCAACCACTCACGTGCGGCTTGTGCAAGCGTCTTCTCACCAGTGCACCACTCTGACACTCTCGATACCCCGTCCAAATCTGTGTCTTGCAGAGTGAACGATCGAAAATACGCCATCAAGATGAGCGCGTTCCCATCTGCTTCCCCTGGCCGATGCATCGGCTGCGGTGCACCATGAAAGCGCGGGTTCCGCGGACTCTCGTTCCGAACCAACACCCACTTGTGCCGTGACGTTCCCATGCCTTCAACGTCAGGGAACGCTACCCATGCGTCGCAGCCGTCGCCGCGAATGACAGAATCGATTCCTGCCAATAACGGTGCTTCTTCCACTCCCCTCTGCCGTGCCTCACGGACCTTCGTCTTGCCGCTCGCCGTGAGTACAGCGTGATACTGGTTTTCGTCCTCCTCGTCGTCCGTCTCTTCCTCGTCCTCCTCTGCTACCTCTTTCCTTTTCTTCATCTTCGTGGACCACTTTGCCATTTCAATTCGCCAATATCGGGAAAAAAACTCATACACACAAAGGTGCCGTAGTTCCGGGGCCCACTTCGCCTCCAACGGTCTCATGCCGTACAGGAATGCTGGACTCTTTGAAATCACGCGCGGCCTTTTTGCGCGCCTACCATCGCGTTCAAGATGAACTCTGCCAGGGCCCGATCGCTCCGACGCCACCCCGCACTCCTTTTCTACCATCCTCACAACGTCAAACCCAGGGACCATTGCTGTTTTCGACGTCTTAACACTCTCCGCAGCCGTCACGTCTCGCACATCCGAGTACGCGCGCAGGTTCACACTCTCTTGCGCGGACCGCGCGATCCCTGTCCCGTACATATCCGCGAGTAGCCGCGTGATGTGGCGGCGCGCCACGTACGAGGCGCTACGCCCTTGCACTTTCTCCGCTAACGCATGGCGCCCTTTCTTACACTCTTTCACCTCGTTGAATGACGACGCCAGGCGCTTCGCCCCATAATCGCACGCGCACCCTGCCTGGGCGTTCTGCGCGCGCTGTGCCGCGAGCACGATATCTTTCACCTCCGCGCCGTCCCAACACCTCTCTGCGCGCGCGTCCCTGTCATGCGTCTGCTCCAGAATTGGGAACCTGCACGGGAGCTGCACATCGGAGTTGAAATTCAATCCAAGGCCGCCGCTTAACAATGCAGGCAATGTCCCGTTCATATTCTCTTCATTCTGTGGCCCGTGTAGGCATCCAGTCATATCTCTGCGCCCTCCACACGGCATGGGGCGGTTTTTGAAAAAAACCCTGGACGCAAACGCACGGTCTTCTCCACCAGCCATGTCGTCCGAGGGAAAAAGCTCTTGCATTTCAGAGGGTCGTCATCTTGTTGACAGTGGAGCAAGGGCACAACTTTAGAATGCCGATGACTCCACTTGTGTACGTGGTTCTGACGGTATCCCTGGCCCCTCTGCACATCCCGCATACTTTCGCAACCACCATTTCGAAGCGCTCCCCCTCTCAGACTCTGGGCTGAGCTCTTGGGTCACCTCAAGGGTTCGCTGCACCTCCGCATCGGTCTGCTTCAGATACTGTTCTGCCTGAATGAGCTCTTCCGTGCCCTTGTACGCAGGCCAGTCTTTTTCGATGTGCTCTTTCTGCCTCTGCCATTCCGCCACATCTGCGTATACTTGCCGCGACACCAGCCTTTTAAATGCTGCGCGCCCGCATATCAGACGCTTAAGCTCGTCCGGGGGACGGCGAATAATCTCGTGCAGCGGCGCGTGCTGATGGAGACATTGGACAAACAACTGTGCGCGCAGGTGTAAACTGCCAGCGGATTTCTGAGCTTCTATGGAACCGTACACACCGTCCACTCGTCCAGCGCACACGCCTACCAATTTCGCGTTACTACCTGCCAGATCCGCGCAATCACAGTCGGGACACCGCGGACACCATCGAATCCCGAACAGGTGCTCCAACACCAGGCCTGCGATTGTGCGAAAGCCGTCGACGCCCGCCAGAGGGCCCCGTGCCAAGCACTCCAAGCGCATCTTGGCCGCTGCAACGTTTTGGCATAAAACCTCCATGGGCATCGCCATGTTCACATCGTCAGCGTCGCCCTCAACCACCTCGTCCTCGAATGGCACGCCGCAGGCGCCTGTGAAATCGGGTTCGAACAACCCGCCATTCGACGGGCCTTGTTTCTCCTGCACCCGATGTCTGTTGACGGGGTCCTTTCGGCGCGACCTACTGAGTCGTACCATGACGAGGTTGTGCCTCTCATCTGGGGACATCGTAAAAAATACTGGGACGCCTTGAGCCACCCGGCCAGCGTGGGTATCGAACCGCATAATGGTACGTACCTCATTTGTTCCTGCGATCTTCTTATTCATGGCCTGCGCTTGCCGCGCCATTCTCTGCGCGGTCTCCGACAATGTCGTGACGAATTTCAACTTCGACACGTCTCCATTCACTGCGCGCCGCTGTCCAGTGCCAGGATCCGGGTACGTTCCTCGCAGTGCCTCTACTATGCTTATGGAAGCCTGCTCCATATACGTAAAGTCGCGACCCGATTCGTCCTCCCTCTGCTCATGATCTGCAAACAGCCGCATGCTCCTGGACGTGTTCAAAGCGCTTTGGTACAACAAAGACGACATCGTGAACCCGAAGCGCCAGTCGCGCCGGATCTAAGATTGCACGCGGCGTGTCATGATTCGTGTCCACAGCGGAAGTTCCACGCGGGGTGCCTCTCCGACACGCCGGTGTCGGCACACTTCGGACCATTCTGGCATATCGGGCATGCCTACCCAAAACTTGAAGCAGAAAAGAAAAGCGACGCCGAAGAACCACGGAACAAACTGACTCATCATGGCCGCGCCTGGAGACACCACGAGGCGCAACCGCATCTTCTCCATCCACGTCCCCCGTCCGTTTACGTCGATCAGCACCAGGTTGTGCCGCTGCGACGCTTCTCCGAGCCTAGCGATATCCGACACTCCTTTGCATGTGCATCGCACGCGGCCATTGTCTTGGTCGCTCAGTACATTTGTAGCCAACGCAACTAAATGATCCCGCCATGCTTCGTGCGCGAACTGAACGGTCGTATGTTCTTCTGCATGGGAAGCCGCGCAACCGCCGCCATGCCCGTCCGTGCCTCTTTCATTTACGCCGCGGGTCATGTGCTGCAAAGCTGCTTCCGCCATAGCGTTTTCATCTACCTCGTTGAACGATGACCTCTCCATGACCACCATGTTCGGAATTATTCGATCCCTGTCGTCGCAAGCGTCTTTCACCGTCGCCTGCTTCGCATCCAACGGCGTCGCATTCTTTTGCACCATGATCTTATCCAAATGATTGTCATACGGAAGCAACCGCACTAGCTCGGGCGGTGCGCCATTCTCTGGTAGCTGCTCGGCGCGAGCATCTACTGCTGCAGCGTCCACGTGCATATGCGCCCTATGCCCGTTAGCGATCATCTTCTTGATGTGGTGCTTCACCACATCCCGCCGCGCGGTGGCTTGATGGATGAATGTCGGCAAGTTGTCCTTTTACGTCGCGTCACTCACCTTCAACAAAATTTGAACAACGTGGGAGAGATCGTGGCCCACGCGCGGCACAGGCGCACCACCCGCGCGCTCTCCTGACGCGACTTTGCTCCGAAGCTCTGACAAGATGCCCTGCCATGGACGAGCGAACGAAGTTGCATTCCCCCGAGCCGCGACTCGCGTCTCCTGCATCCCAGCGACGGAATCAAATAAGTTTTGGAATTTCACCTCCAACGAGAAACAAATCATGGCAGTTATGCGCGGACTGCAACAAATCATCTCCATTAGGGGCATCCCTTCGTCGCACATGCTTTTCGGACCGTAAAACGACATCAGATCTTTCGCCAAGACTCGCGCGGGCATCACCGGCACCGTCACGTGGGACGTTTCGTTCCACGCCCGCTTCGGGGCATCTACACCTTCAAAGCACTCCCGACATAACGGAACCTCGCATTGAGCACAAGCTTCCCCCTTTTCCCGACATCCTGCAGTGCACCGCTGGTCCTCTGGACAACATGCCAACTCGAGGTGGCCCCGAGGCACTCCAGTAGACGGCGCGCACCAGAGACGCACCGTCCAGTCGTCAAACTCATCCATGTGCTTCTGGAGATCGGGTTTATCGCTCCCTTCTTCATACCTGTATCTTCTCAGATATGCCGCGAGGCTCAACTCCTGATGAACCTCCCACATAGACCACGCCCCCATGTGCGTCAGTCCACTACCATCCCGCGCGTCGCTCTCAAACACTCGCCCCCGCCAAATATCATTATATTTCCGTCCCGACACCCGCGGAAACGAACAACCGCACATGCAACATATCGGCGATGCTACCTTTTCCTGTGTAACTGTTTCTGCGTACGCTTTTAACCTTCTCCGGTGCGTCGCATACGACGATACTGGAGCTCCTTGCCTCACAGCGTACGCGACGATTTCACTGTAAGCAGTGAGTGCTCGCTTCTGCAGCGAAAACGCGGGCGAATACATGTCTGCAATCGGCTGCGCGACATCTCCGTGCGCGACGCGAACATGGCTGAGAAGCTCAGACTCGTCTACGCCAGTCCAGAGGCAACCTCGGAAGGCACAATGAGTTGGCGGCGGTTCTACCGCGTCGTTCTCGACCAAAGCTGCCCCCATGGTTTATTGGGGCCCTCTGGATCCGCGGGCGCAGTGGGGATCTCCCGCAACAGCTTCGCTGCCGTTGCCACCGCTCCTTCCCGCGCCCGTCGGGGATCGGTCGACGCTGGGTTGACCCGCGCTGCAACAAAAACATCCTTGCGTCGTATCCGCCTCTGGGACTGCACCAACTGCGGTACCCTCCTGAGCTGGCTTGTCGTTGTCGCCTGCTCCTGCCGCACCCGCGACCGTGCTCCTGCCTGACTCGGGGTCGTTTCTGCACGAAAGGCCGCACTTCATGGACGAACGCCGCGTGGGCTCTGTCGCGCTCGTTCCATACGATTCGCAAAACGTTTCTTTCTGCTTCCCCATGCGCCTCGTTCGCTTCACCCGCGCACCCTCTGCGGAACCTGCGCCCCCCTCTGGGTGACGGTTGTCAACAAGAGCGCCATGCAAAGACGGAGACGCACCATCTATATCATCACCCGCCCCCGATGGCGCGCGCGTTGATTTCGACTCTCCATCCACGCGGCCCAAAGCAACCTCGCTTTCCAGCGCCGTTTTGGCAGCACCGCCGTGGTCTACTGATTCTGCATTTCTACGCTTAGCTACACCCGCCTCGTGCGCACCCTTTGCCGCGTCGGTTTTTTCGGACGACATTGGGAGTCTGTCGCGCGACGACAACGGCCCATCAGTTGCCGGAACCGTTTCATTGGCGGTATCTGTCGACACGACTGCTTCCGCCCGGTGCCTCGAAAATACCACAAGGGCAATGTCTCCCTGATTTTTCGGATTCTCCGCAAAATCTTGGAAATTAGTATGCACAACTACGTTGTCATCGAACCTTACAACACCGACGCCAGGGCAATCGAAGTAGGCCACGACATGAGCTGGCTGCCCCAGATGGCAGATCGCGCCCTGGAACTGGAACGCCCAGCCCGACGCCCCCGGCCACTCGAACGCCCTTGGCACGCTTACGCGGACATTCACTCTGGTCATTCCGTCCGCCATTCTTCTGCTCAGCAACACAACAAGGAACCTTGCAGGCGTCTCCGATGGCACGTCGTGAGTTTGCGACGGGCCCTGGCGCCCGTGCCACACCTCTCCGTCTCGCAAGGCGGGTCGATGTGGGCATGGCAAACCGTACTGAGCCCGTGTGGATTCCAACGCCACCAGATGATCAAGACCAACTGGACCCAACACATCCGCATATTCCCACATTTGGTTTATCATGCATCGTTCTCGTCTGTAAACATCCGAAACCCAACCGCAACCGCCGCAATACCGCCTTTGACGGATTGTGTTTCCCAGTATAGACCCGACTACCACTGTGTAGTGCTGCGCGAGGATTCCCATGCCCCTCAACGCACTCGACTCCGCAGCACAGACAGCGTCAACTAATGCGCTCCACAGCTCGCTTGCGTCGCACTGGCGATTGCTCCTAAAATCATTAGTGCGACCGCGCTGAAACAGGCCATCGCGCACCGCTCTCACTCCTGGAACTTGATCGCTTTTATCTACAGGAAGATCACCCAGGGATGTGCCCATCAGGTCCGCCTGCTGTGCTAACGCACAAACTCCGCACTGATGACGCCGTCGGACGCTGCATCCGCACCGATGATGCAGCACTGCGTGCCGAATAGGGCCCAGCCGCAGCAACACTTGCATTGCGGCGTTTGCAAAACACGAATTTCCGATGTTCGGCATACCCTTTATGCGATGTCGCGCGCGCGCCCAGGCACCGTCCTCAAGCACGACTCGAGCGGAGTCACCATGCAACGCGGCCGCCAGATCCACTTCTGACACAGCCGGTCGCACTAGCTCTCACAATGTGCTCTCGTTTGTGCGTTTCGCAGGAACTTCCTGCACGGCGGCGCCCTCCCCCGTATCGGGCCGCTCTTCCACGCCCGCGTCGCTATTTGCACTTGCGCCGTCCGCGCAGGTCGGGGCTACCTGGGCGATGCTGGATGACGGCGGCGATGTGCTACCTCCAACCGAAGAATGAAGCCGCGGATCATGCTCTGCTTGTCCCTCTACAGCGTCGCGCGCGAGCACATCTCCCCCGCTTGCCACGCGAACAACGCGCTTACTAGACATCCATATTACTGCTCCTGCGCACGCGCCGTGTACGTCGCCAAGCTCCCATCTATGCCGCAACGCGGCTGTCATTACTTGCTGCACGTCCTTCGCTGCATGCACCCGCACAAACGCGCGCTCGTCGCACAGCCACGTCTGGACAGATTGGAGACTTTGTCTCTCCATCGAATCGCCACTGCCACCCCCTGACGCCATGTCATTTCTACACTCTGTTTCAAACCTTCGCAGTGCATGCCGGCGCCACCGCCCCCCGCGCAGGTTCGCACACGCGACTTGTAAATATTTATGCTCATGGCGACCAATGCTGGATACGTCGCCCCCCAATACCACTCTCGGCATCGGCAATCCCGACATGCTCTTCCTGCGCGACCTCCGCCCGCGGCACCCAGCCACCAAGAGTTTTCTTCCCAGAAACAACGTGTAGCCCGGCCGTTGGACCAGAAAGCTGGGGGCGTCATGCTGCGGTTACGCCTCGCGCCCACTCCTGGGGGCCGCCTATTCGGACGCAGATCAGCGCACAAGACTCTCCGCGCCCGCACGTTGGATCGCTGGACTGCAAAACTGCGGGCACTTATAGGATTGGCCGGCCGCGCCAGGCCTAAGAACATGGACAAGCGTACGACAGAAAAAATAACGTTCCGTCCTCGCGCCTTTTCCCCTGGAAAACGACGGCAACGCAAACTTGAACATTTGCGAGAGTTTCCCCTTGCAACGACTTCCATACACGAAAGAATACGACCGCTGTCGCGTCCGCCACGATCCCCATGCCGACGAACGCCGCTCCCCCCAACAGCTCCTCTTTCCACGGCGTAGAACACCCAGAAACGCAAAATTAAACATTTGCGAGCGCTTCCCCCTTCTGCGACTTCCACGCGGTAGGGGATGAAGACGACCCAGCGACCGCCACGCCTGGCGTAGATTACCCAGAAACGCACATATATAAAATTGCGAGCGTTTCCCCCTTCTACGACTTCCACGTAGTAGGGGATGAGGACAACCTCGCGACCGCCGATGCCCGCCATGCCCAACGCCGCAGCTGTGCCCCACGCGCGGTATAGCCTCCTCCCACATCGATGCGCTTCCCACCGCGCACCTTTTCGCACCGCCTCCACGCGCCGCTCCTCCGCGCGTTGCGCTCAGCTCCCCGCTCTTTTTCGCGCCGCGCCTCCAATCTGACCTTGCCCGTCGTCCCATAGCCACTTCTCAGACTGGGGAAGGCGCAGTCGCCGCGGCGACAGAGGGATGCCCACCGGATTACCCCCCGGGAGGGGTCACTCCTGACATGGCAGGCGGCACCAGCCACCGCGGCAGCGGGCTTCCCACCGGATTTCCCCCCGGGAAGGGTCACCCCTGAGAATGCAGTAGGCGCGTCGCCAGATTTCCCCCCGGGAAGGGTCGCCTCTGAGAAAGTAGAGGGCACTTCTTGAGCTCTTTGTCCTTTCGCCATGCGGCCCCCCTTCGCTCGCCCGCCCGTGGGGGCAAGATGGGGTGCACACAGCTAATGAATGCTTGAGCCTGGGAGCGGCGCGGCAATGTGCTTTTCCTCGATTCCCTCGCTCCGTCATCGTTCCTCTTCAATGACTTCTGTTTCTGCGCTATCTTTGCCCCGTGTCTCGTTTCTTCTTTCTGCTCCATATCCTGCCTCCTTTTCGTCGTTACCTCTCACAACAACATTCTGTCTCTCGCTATCGCCCGCGTGGTCTTACTCGCGCCCTGTGTCGCAGCCGTCACCGTCGACATAGTCAGGACTTCCATCGCCACCAGACTGCTGGCACACGAAGCGCGCCCAGAGGGATCGCGATCCCCCTCCTTTCAGCCACGCGAAAAGAGACCCAACGTTTTGCAGTTCTGAATAACGATGTTGCTGTGAGTATCGTGTTCGGTGGAGCACCCCATGTCACCGCGACAAAGCGCCGTCGGCCGCTGCTGCGTCGCGCCAGGCCCGCCCTCAGCAGCCGCCGAACCAGGCCGTCGCGCGGATCTTCATATGTTACGTGTATATATTCAATAATACTATATATATACATACATATATACAAATATGTACACATCCAATCCCATATTATACACACACACGTGTACATAACATGGGCAGGCATGCGCGCGCGGAGGTGGCACTGCGCGGCGCCACTCGAGAGTATATGTTTTGGTCCAAGAACGGGCTCTGGGTCGGGACCAGGACGGAAACAACGCCCGTCGAAACAAACAAGTGGTCGCCCCCCCCTCCAAGATCATACCTTTTCGTGTCCTCATCCTCGATTGCTTCTTTTCCTGTCTCTCCCCCTCTCTCTCTCTCTCTCTCTCTCTCTCTCTCTCTCTTTCTTTCTTTATCTCTCTCTCTCTCTTTCTCTTTCTCTCTCTCTCTCTCTCGCTCTCTCTCTCTCTCTCTCTCTCTCTCTCTCTCTCTCTCTCTCTCTCTCTCTCTCTCTCTCTCTCTCTCTCTCTCTCTCTCTCTCTCCTCTCTCTCCTTTCTCTGTCTCTGGGCTCTCTCGGGACTCTGACCGTTGAGAACCGCTGTGCTTTCAAGGTTTTCCAGATTTTCCACGTTTTCCCCGGCACTGACCATTGAGAAACGCTGTGTTTTCAATGTTTTCCAAGTTTTCCCGGTTTTCCCAAACACTGACCGTTGAGAAAAGCTGCGTGTTCCATGTTTTCCCAGTTTTCACAATTTTCCCAGACACTGACCATTGAGAAAAGCTGCGTTTCCTAAATTTTCCAGATTTTCAATGTTTTCCCAGAAACTGGCCGTTGAGAAACGTTGCGTTTCCCAGGTTTTCTAGATTTTCAAAATTTTCCCAGACACTGACCGTGGAGAAACGCTCACTCATTTGGAAGTCTCTGGGAAGATCTGGAATACCTGGAAAACCTGGAAAACACAATGTTTTTCACCTGGGTAGGCTCTGTGGAGAATTGGAATATCTGGAAAATCTGGAAAACGCAATGTTTTTTTTTCACCTGGGTAGTCTCTGGGAAGATCTGGAATATCTGGAAAATCTGGAAAACACACTCGTGTTCACCTGGGTGGTTTCTGGGGAGATCTGGAATATCTGGAAAACACATGGCTTTTCAACGGCCAGTGCCTGGGAAGACCTGGACAACCTCGAAAACACAAGCCGCGCGACCCCTTTATCTGTTCATCGGGGGACGTCGTGCGCGCGCAGGTCAGGTGACTCCAACGAGGCAGCATTGGCCGCTTGCTGCCCCGCCCGTTGCAGAATGGCACCCCTCACAGCGGCCTCCAGCCGCAATCGCAAACGCCGTTTATACATCGCGCCCCTCAGAGCGCCAGCCATCGCAAGCGCCCTCACGCAGGCGCGCCAGCGCCCGAACTCGCTGCCGCGGCGCCCGTCACCCCGTCGTCCTCTAGCATCTGCGAGAGGTCCTCCTCGAGGTCCGTGCGCTTCTTCTTCGGCGTCGGCGTGTCCAAATGAATGACGACGCAATCCTTGGACTTCTTGAGGCGCTGGCGGGACACCCCTGGCTCCCTCTCGATCGCCGCCGCAGGCGAGGGGGGCGCGGCCGCGACGGCCGCGGGGGGGGAGCCGTCGTCGCCATCCATCCCGCCGCCGAAGCCGAAGACGTCTTCCTCGTCCTCTGCTGCGGCGGCGCCTCTCATCTCGCCGCCGAGACCAGAGTCGGCGTCGTCGTCATCTGGGTTGCCTGGGATGGCGGGCGCAGGGGGCGCGGCCGCGCTGGCGGCGGCGGATGCGTCGGCGCCGACGTTCATTTCACCGTCCATTGCAACGAACTCATACCTCGGGGGCGCGTCCTGGTCGAAGAGCGCGGGGCCGCGAACCGTCCTCGAGCGCCCGATGCCCTCGCCGCGAGCAAGCTTCTTCATGGCGGCCACGGCCCACTTCATGTGCACGCCGTAATCGGGCGGCGCGAAGGTCTGGTCCTTCTTGAACCGCTTCAGGATAGGGGTGGTCTCGGGCGTGAAGAGGTCTGGCTTCCCGGGCACTGGCCACGGGAAGCGGGGGGCTGGATCCTTAGTCGTAGACGCCAGCCACAGGTACATCCAGTCGTCAGTGAGGAGCACGATGTTGGACCTCGCCATGTACGCCTCCACGTCCGCCATCTGGTAGCCGCACTGATTCTCGCCAACGAAGTTGCGATTTATGATTTTGAAGAAGTCGTCGAATTTGATCACTTGTTGGCCTCTGCGGATGGAACGCACCTTCTTCTCGAACTCCTGGTCGTAGGGGTTGGCGCAGATCTGGCGGGACTGGTTCTGCTCGAAGGAGGCGCCGCCCCACCTATGCAGCGCGCGGAAGCGACGCACACCAAAACCGACATATAATACATGGCTTGTCGCCGCTTGGGCGTTTGATTGTTTATACTTTTCGACGGCGTGCGTCATCCGCGCCCTGCGGCCTCGCCCACAGCAGCGCGTCCTCCTCGGCGGGGCCCAGGAAGGCCTTGATCTCACCGGGGGCCCACTTCGCGAGGACGGTGTCGCCCGCGATAGCGGGCTTGTACACAGCCCGGGGCCCGAGCCGCAAGAAGTCGATGTTCTTCGTCGTGACGACGCTCGGACGGAGGTCGGTGCGGTTATTCTTATATTCTTATCAGTCTGGTGGGCGGAGATTGCAAAGCCGATGGTTTTCGACGCCGTGGATTTGCCGACCCTGGTCTTGCCGATCCACATGGCCCCGTGCACGTCGTGGCTCTTGAGAACGGGGGCGACGATGATGTCGAACACGAACGGGTGGAAGTGCTTGAGCGTGATCGCCCAGCGCTCGAGTGTCCTCGCGCCAACAGAGCCAGACGCGTAGTTGCGGAGCGACTCCTTGACTTCCGCTGCCTGCCAGCCAAAGATCGGCGACTTCTCGTCGTTGATCTGTTCGTCGGTCCACTCCACGAGCTGGTTGCGGTTGGTTGCCCTCGGGCCGAACTCCTCTATGAAACGGTAGCCCGCCCTTCGCTTCTCCTTGTCGCAACCGCCACCGCCGACGGCGGCGGCCGCGGACGGCTGAACCCAATGGCGGATCTGCACCCCGCCCAGCCTGTCCACCATGTAGTGAAAGAGCTTGAGTGGCGTCTTAGTGTCGGCCGAACTCCCCCCGCGGATGGTGAGCGCCCTGCCTGCAACGAAGATATCCTTGGCAATGTCGGTCCGAACCTTGTTGTCGAACCTGGCGCACTTCAGCGCGCACTGCTCGCCGTTCGCGTCCTTCGGCAAGATGCGCAGCTGCATGGTGAAGGCGATCTCGCCAGGATCCTTGTTGGGCTTAAACGGGGAAGGCAGCGCCATGTAGTTGCCCCCGCACATGGCGTCATACACGTCGACTGTGTCCAAGTGCTCCGCGGTGCCATCCCCCAACGTCACCCAACCCACTAAATGCTTCACATTCGCGACGTTGTCCGCGCACTGGAGCGGCATGTCGCGGAGGACGAAAGCAGCGGGAAGGTCTGATTGGAAACGCTCGGGCTTGTCGAGCGCCTTGTAGGGCTGCGCCGCCGCCATGTGCAGCCACGTGGTTTTGATTTGATCAGTTGCGGAGGCGCCGCCGCCGACGATCTCTCCCATTGACTTGATGCCGCCAGCCGTCAAGCTCGCCATGACAGACAGCGGGTGCAAACGGAAGCTCGAAGTGAAAGGTTGGCAGCTGGGGACAGCACGCGCGAACTACTGAACCCTGCGATTGAGCCCAAACAACTACACCCTGCGAAATGCTTAAGAAATCATGGGTTAAGAAATTCATAGTCTCAGAAGTTGAATAAACACCCAAAAATTCTATTCAAATCTTAGGAATTACATTGAAGCCTTAAGAATAATCAAGACTCTGGCCGAAAACGTAAGTGTTCTTAAGCATCGCCTAAGGTGCACGAACAGAGGGATGTCGGCAAGGACGTCGCCGTTGCCGCGAGGTGGCAAGACTGGCGACGGCACTGGTGATTACAACTGTTTCTTCGCTAGTATTGACGTCATGGAACAAGTCGAAAGCTGCGTGCGTAACTGCGCGCATTTCGCTTGGGCACCCTCGCCATGCTGGCACAGCATACCGCAACGCAGAAAGCACCCCAGAGTTAAACCCCACCCCCAGCGAAAGCAATGGCACTCCCACCCTCAGTACACGCCGCTCATCTCCTCGTAGATCATGTCACCCGTGGCCACCCAGAGGTCGTTGCCCTTGTTCCAATACTCCCACTGTCCCGAGCGAATCCTGCTGGCCAGCGCCCTGCTCTTGGGCTTCAGAGTGCGGCTGCCGATGTGCGCCTTCAAGAACTGCCGGGCCCTGTCCACGATCTGCGTGCCGCCCTTCCAAAGGATGGAGTCGCCCTCAAGCAGTTTGTGACGCGCCAGCTTGGTGAACGCGGGCTTGAGCCACACCCACTTGCCGCCACTTGTCTTGCGCTTCCGCGCGTGCACGACCCAGTCATGTAGGGCCCCATCCTCCCGAATATTGTAGCTCCTGGCGCCGTCGGAGTGGAGGGTGACCTTCTGGCGCTGCAGGCGGCTGAGCAAGAACGGCTTCAAGTCTGACTTGGCGATTGCCCCAGGGCCTGGCGCCTTCGGGGCGGTCGCGTCGTCGCTGGCGCGCCAGAGTACCAAGCTCTGTGGGCGCCCGCGCTCAACGCAGCCAGCCCGCTGCTCCCATTCCTTCGTTTTCTTGTCAGCTGATAGCGCCGCGCGAAAAACCGTCTCGTCCGCTTTCACGCCCGCCCACTATGCGTCGCCCCCGAACACGATCTCCTTCTCCGTCTTCTCGACGAACCACTGGCGGGCTGCGTCCAGGTACTTGGACATGCGGTCGATAGCCTTGCGATTGACGTTGAGCAGGAGGTGGATCTGCGCGGTGGCCCTCCCGATCAACAGGCAGAACAGCATCTTGACCTCGTTCATCAGCGACATCTTGCTCTGTCCATTGCCGTCGCTGAACACGGGGTGCCCGCGGCACGCGCCCACCTGCTTCCCGCGCCGCCGACCGCTGTTGCATCGCCACTTCACCGCCCCGTCCGCCTGGACACGCCGATTGCCGAGCTTGCCCTGCCCGCAGTGCGGACAGATGTGGCCCGACCAATCATTCAAGATGTTGTCCTCGATCAGCATCGACACCATGTCCTCCTCAGACTTCCCCTCGAAGCTGGCGAGGGAGCGGCGCCATTGCTCACGTGCTTTTCGGGTCTTCGTGGGCAGCGTGCCGCTGCGGGTATATGTCACGGAGGCCTTCATGCTGTTCTTCTTCTTCTGCTTCATGGCACTCTGGTCACGGCCCATGATGCCATTGCCGCGCTTAGGCACTGGGAATGGGCGGAACGCTTTGTCTGAGCGTTTCAACATCGTTTTCTTGGTTGGGATGGTGGCCCCAGCGGGCCGCTTCATCGCGCCAGCGGGCCGCTTCATCGCGGCAAAGACCACGGCGGAACCCGCTGCTCGAGGGGAGTTTGGGCCAGGGCGGCTACGAGGAGGAGGATGAGGAGGAGGAGGAGGATCTTATGTCCAATTGGAACAGTGCTGGACTGCTCCACATGTGGCCTTGGTTCTAGTCATTGTTCTGGCTCTGGTTCTGGCTCTGGTTCGAGTTCTGGCTCTGGTTCTGGCTCTGGTTCTGGTTCTGGCTTTGATTGTGGTTCTGGTCCTGGTTCTGGTTATGGCTCTGGTTCTGGCTCTGATGCTGATTATGGCTCTGCTTCTTGTTCTGTCTCTGGTCAGCTTATGGTTATGGGTCTGTTTCTGGCTCTGGTTCAGGCTCTGGTTCCGGCAGTAAATCACGCGCGGACGAACGGCAGTGTTTTCGGGCGCGGAGGTGGGAACCCTGGCCAGGGGGCCTTTTCAGGCTCCCTCTCCAGCACATCAAACGGGCAAGGAAGCCTTTTCAGGTTCCCCCTCCCGCCACTGGCCAGGGAGCCTTTTTCAGGTTCCCTCTCCAACACATCAAACGGGCCAGGAAGCCTTTTCAGGTTTCCTCTCCCGCCGCTGGCCAGGGAGCCCTTTTCAGGTTCCCTTTCCAGCAAATCAAACGGGAAGGGAAACTTTTTCAGGTTTCCCCTCCCGGCACTGGCCAGGGAGCCTTTTCAGGTTCCCTTTCCAGCACATCAAACGGGCAAGGAAGCCTTTTCAGGCTTCCCCTCCCGCCACTGGCCAGGGAGCCTTTTTCAGGTTCCCTTTCCAGCACATCAAACTGGCAAGGAAGCCTTTTTCAGGTTCCCCCTCCCGCATTTGGCCAGGGAGCCTTTTCATGCCCACTCTCCAGCACAACAGACGGGCCAGGAAACCTTGAGGTTTCCCCATCCCGCCACTGGCCAAGGAGCCTTTTTTCAGGTTCCCTCTCCAGCACGACAAACGGGCCAGGAAACCTTTTCAGGTTTCCACTCCCGCCACTGGCCAGGGAGCCTTTCCGTGTCGGCCACATCGTCGAAGGGGCACATCGTCGAAGGGGCATCCATAAATGGATGCCGCCTTCTGCCGCATCAAGGCACGATTGAAAGAGACCCTGGAACCGATGCGCAGACATAATGAAGATAAGCGTGGCAAAGATGAATAGGAGGGAGATGGGGATGAATGCGGTTCAAGACGAGATGTATGATCTTGGAGGGGGGGCAACCATATACATATCTATATATATATATATATATATATATCGAGAACTCTCGGTGGCAGATCGAACGGATGTACCGCGACGGGCAGAAGAACCTCGCGAAAACACTTAAAACAGTCGGATCATGCTCAGCCTGGGGTCCCAGGCGACTTTTCGGGAAAGGCTCGCCGAAGACTCCTTCTGCCCGCTCTGTGGAGATCACCACTGCGATGACTATCGGAAGTTCTGGGGGGGCCCACTTCTTTTCCAGGCCGAGCATCACCCTCATCCAGGATACGGAGGACATAGCAGACATCGCCCAAGGGGATGATCAACCAGCTTGCTTGTTGCTCCGAGGGCTCATCCCAGCCAGTCTTGCACTGAGGGCAGTAGAGGACACCACACCCAAGCACCCCATCCGTGGGGACAGGTGCCTCCCTGGATCCTCCCGAGCCGAGGGGCGGTTGGCGCCTCGGTTCTGTGGATGGCTCAGGAGGCGCCTTCTCGTCCGACCCCCGTCTCAAGCGAGTTGGATGGGGTGCGGGGGTACGGGATGAAGATTTATCTTTACGCCTCCCGGCAATGGCCAAGGGAATCTCGTGGGGCGCCATACAATCAATAGAGCAGAGCTCAAAGGGGCCGCAGAGCTCCTCAGGCACACACGAGGGGCCCTCACAGTGGTCGCCGATTCGGCGTACCTCACGCGTGGGCGCAACAGGGCCCCCCCGTAGGAGGATGCCCACCAGTCGTAGGCTCTGGTCAGAGCGTTGGCGAGGGCGAGTGCTCGAGGCCCGCCAGGGGCTGCTGCGGCACCTCAAGGTCAACAGTCATGCCACCGACCCCGAGGTCCGAGCACGTTCTCCAGCCGGGGGCCCTGTCTGTTGCCGGCCGAGCAGGCGAACTGGCTGGAGAGGCTGCCGCCCGAGCCGCTGTCCCCCAGGAGCTGGTCAGCCGAATGCTGGCATCGGACGCGCTCGCCGAGCAGATCCGTGGGCGGCTGGCTGCACTCCGGATAATGTCCTGGACCCATTCTCCAGCAGAAGAGGCTCCCGCCGAGACGAAGCGAGCTCAGAGTCAGGAGCGAAGCGAGAAGGCGCTGCAGTATCTCTTGGAGGCGACCTCCCACTGGCCCCAGGTCCAAGGAGACCAGGTCTCGTGTGGCCGATGCGGGAAGGAGACTCACATGAGGTCTTGTGCCCGCTGGCTCCGCTCACCTTGTCCCACCAAGCCCATGGCGGAAGCCCAGGTTGCCGTGGCTGCGAGGAGGAGGACGACGACGAGGCGGCGGAGACGAGGGGGAGGAGGAGGAGGAGGAGGAGGAGGCGGAGGAGGAGGAGGAGGAGAAGGAGGAGGAGGAGAAGGAGGGAGGAGGAGGAGAGAAGGAGGAGGATGAGAAGGAGGAGGAGGAGGAAGAGGCGGATGAAGAGGAGGATGAGGAGGAGGAGGAGGAAAAGGAGGAAGGGGAGGACGAGACGCACGAGGAGGAGGAGGAGGAGGAGGAGGAGGAGACGCAGGATGAGGCAAAGGGGGAGAAGAGGAGGAAGAGGAGAAGGATGATAAGGATGAGGAACAGGAGGAGGAGGAGGAGGAAGAGGAGGGGAAGGAAAAGGAGGAGGAGGACGGGAAGGAGGAGGAGGAGGTGGAGGAAGAGGAGGACGATGAGGAGGAAGAGGAGGAGGAGGTGGAGGAAGAGGAGGAGCTGGTGGAGGAAGAGGGAGAAGAGGAGAAGGAGGAAGGAGATGAGGAGGTGGTTGAGGCAGAGGAGGAAGAGGAGGAGAAGGAGCAGTAGGAGGATGAGGAGGTGCAGGAGGAACAGGAGGATCATGATGATGATGATGATGATGATGATGATGATGATGAGGAGGAGGAGGAGGAGGAGGAGGAGGAGGAGGAGGAGGTGGTGGAAGAGGAGGAACAGGAGGAGGAATCTGAGGACACGGAGGAAGAGGAGGAGGAGGAGGATGAGGAGGAGGATGAGGATGAGGAGGAAGACGAGGAGGAGATGGAGGAGGAGGAGGAGGAGGAGGAGGAGGAGGAAGAGGAGACATAACTTAGATTAGACGATGCGCTGCGCGCGGCTCCACATGATCATACATGCGAGTTGATTTCCATGGCCAGCTTCGTGCGGCCAGGGGCAGGGCCCGTCTCGAGGGCCTGGAAATAAGCGAGCCCAGTCCGTGCGGGCTGCTTACATCCCTGCACCAAGTTACCACTGCGTCTATAGTGGTCGGTCCCAGGGCCGCCACAGGCAGAGCAGGCGAACATCAGTTACTTCTGAGAGCCCACACCCACCTCCCACCACCTCATAGTGTGCGACACGTGCACAATCAGACCATGGCGAATCGAAGCATGAACCCGCGGAGCCTGGCTAATAGGATTGAAAACGACAGGGGCTAGGCAGGACTCTCGGAACCACTGAATTATGGTACCCTTGGACCTCTTGCCTAGATCATAACCGCACTTTTTTGATCTGCGGGGCGAGAGCGAACCTCTTCCGCTGAAAGCTAAGGTTCAGAACCGCAAACAGGACAGAGCCAACGACGAGAAGGAGGAGGAGGAGGAGGAGGAGGAAAAGGAGGAGAAGGAAGACAAGGCGAAGGATGAGGCGGAAGAGGAGGAGGAGGAGGAGGAGGAGGAGGAGGAGGAGGAAGGGGGAAAAGAAGAGGAGGAGGACGGCAGGAGGAGGAAGAGGAGGAGGAGGAGGAGGAGGAGGAATAGGAGGAGGAGGAAGAGGAGGAGGAGAAGGAGAAGGAGGAAACGGAGGAGGAGGAGGTGAAGGAAGAGGATAAAGAGAAGGAGGAGGAGGAGGAGGGAGAGGAGGAGGAGGTGTGAAGGAAGAGAAGAGGAGAATCAGGAGGATGAGGAGGAAGAGGTGGAGGAGGACGAGGGGGAGGAGGAAGGAGAGAAGGAGAGGAGGAGGTGGAGAAGGACGGGAGGAGGAGGAAAAGGAGGAGGAAGATGAGGAGGAGGAGGAGGAGGAAGAGGAGGAAAACGAGGATGAGGATAAGAGGAGGAGGAGGAGGAGGAGGAGGAGGAGGAGAAGGGGGGAAGAGGAGGAGGGGGATTTGGAGGAGGAGGAGGACGGGAGGACGAGGACGAGGAGGAGAAGGAGAAGGAGGAGGAATAGGATGAGGAGGAGGAGAAGGAGGATGAGGAGGAGGAGGAAGAGCAGGAAAGGGAGGAGGATGAGGAGGATGAGGAGGAAGAGGTGGAGGAGGAGGAGGAGGAGGAGGAGGAGGATAAGGGGAGGCCACTCCTTGGGGGACCCTGAGGTCCAAGCGTCGCTCCCTGCTTCCCACCGGGCGATTTTTCCGTTCGGGCTCAAACGCCGGGACCCCCACGGGTCGATCCAGCTCGAGACATGCCACAGAAAGCAGGAAAGTGGGTGAGGGTTCAAGAGGTTGGCTCGCGTCTTTCGACTGAGTTCTGTTGTGCTCACTGCTTTTAGTGCTCACCGCAGGTCTCAAGAGACGCGTCCAGGGTTGGAAGGAGGAGTTCCACAGGAAGGAGCGGGGGGGCGGTAGGAGAAAAGGCGAGAAGGTCGTCCCATCCTTGTCGACTTCCCCCTCTTACATCCGGCGGCAATCCTCCACCTCCCCAACCTCCCCCCCGTTATCCTCCGTCATGATTATTCCTCGTGCACCCTCCGTCTTCCCTTCCTCGGTCCTCCATCGCCCATTATCCTCGCCACCCGCATGTAATGTACATAATACTTGCAGAGCCTGCTACTCCCTCGGCGCTGCAACCATGGAGGGCGGGGGGTCTGCGAGTATCATACCGCCGGCGCCGTGGCCATGGTGGTCTGAGCGGCGCCTTGACACAGCCCGACAGCTCTTCCTCTCTCGTGTCGGCCCTGGGACTCTCTCGTGACCTTGCCCATCACTGGGAAAAGCGGGACGGGTATGCGGGTGCTGCCTGCGCAGGGCCTCGGAGGGTTCCTCCTCGCTCCTCCTACTTCAACCCGTGCGCGCTCGTGCCCCTCGAAGGCCTGGGAGGAGGAGGAGGAGGAGCTTTTACCGGGGTGTAGCCCACAGGTGCAGTGCCAGCGCGGAGCATCAGCGGCAGTTCGGGGCTTCGCAAAGCGAAAACAATACCCGCGGGCACCGCCGCCACGCAGCGTGCTCCAAGCAGGCGGTGCACCTCGGTCAACATGGCCACTCGGCACGCAGGACTACCACCTCACCAATCGGGGAGGACCTCCAGCCCCCCGAATTTGACGTCCAGGGCGAAACCTCCAAACGGAGTCGGGACCTTCGGCCCCGGACCGAGAGGCAACTTCGCCCCAGTTCGTTGGTGGTTTCCGCTCCAAGGGTGGTCCAAGCGGGCACGGGTCGACGAGCCGCGCTCGCAGTGCCCCCTGCAATCCACCGCTCGGAGCTGGGTATTATCGCGCGAGTGTGCTCCACACGAGCTGCAGAAGGTAAACGGGCCAACACACCAAAGGCGGTGGCCTACGGCAGGCCAGCACGGGGCCTGCCTGAGCGTCTTGGCCACCTTGGCCACGCGCAGGCACCTTACGCATCGCAACTTACCCGCAAACTGGACTATGTCGTGCTCTCCCGCAGGGGCCTCCTCAGCCGTAAGCCTCGGGGGCGGCCGTCCACGGGTCTCGATATCCCGAGCCGACACTGTACCGGCAGGAGGGCCGACAGCTCGCAGGGTTCTACAGATGTACTTGCACACATACGCGGACAGGCTGGCCGACTTCAACACTCGATCGTTCGCCTGCAGGTCCTGGGGATGCCTGGACGCTCCGAGCCTAGCAAACTGATCAGCAAACTTGTTACCGAGGCGCCAGTACCTGGCGTCTGCTGACAGGTGGTCGTCGCGCACAAGCGCGTGACCCTTGATTTTGATCACTTCAACCTCCCCCCAAGGTCGTCCACGCGCCCCCACACCCGTCCCCGCAGGTCGGCGCACATGCACATGCTGCCCGTCGTGGCCTCGCGGCCCTTCTTAAAGCTCGAGACCACCCAATCACAGTCGGATAGGTAGCGAAAGGGCCCGAGCGAGACGTGGAGGAGGTGCATTCGGAGTCCAAACAGCTCGGCCACCTAAGAATCCTGAAGGAGTCCAGTGAAAGGCCCGCACAGCGAGGCCGTGACATCTAAGCCGCCCCCCGAAGTTTGGACCACGGACCACCCAGCTCTCTTCGGACGGGGCTCGCACGCAAGAATGGACCCGCAGGACCCGTCGCCGAAAGCCTCGCCCTCCAGGTGGCCTCCCGGGGGCCTAATCTCCCAGCTGACCTGAAGCTCCAAGGTGGGAGGCAAACACCACTCGACGGGGTCGGGCATGAGACCGTGGCACCACAATGCCCAGTCCTCGCGGTCGTGCGCACCAGAGCGAAGCGAGTGTGGCAGCATGTAATCTCGCCGATAGCCCCACGTGCCCGGACACGACCCCCAACACAAGTGCCCCACCGTCCCCCGCTCGAGGCCACACAATTCGCACCAAGGGCTATCGACGAGCCCCACCTCGAATTTGCGAGCTCGACCCCGATATCCATTCGCTGCGAGGCATCTTGCCGTCGCCTGGTGCAAGGCCGTCCAATCCTTGGCGGCCGACGGCTGGGTTGAGCAGAGGTGGCGAATGGGGGCGAGGAAGGAAGGATGGGAAAGCGAGGCGAGGTGGGGACACTCTGCGTGCGCAGTGCGGAGGAGCCGATCCTCGACACCCTGCTTGGCGATGTTCTGAATTGTCTGAGGGCACGCTTCACCTAATTCCAAGACCTCGCCGCGAGCAGTCTTCAGACTGCAGATGCCAGGCCCAGGACCACCCGATTCGCTGGCAGGAGGCAAGGGTCGCTGAGATCGGGCCTTGGACAAACGACCAAGTCCTGTCCACAGGCCCCCTGGCTCGGGCGAGGCGTTGATCAGCAGCATTGAGGAGAAAGCCGAGCCAATCGAATGGGAACCAGCTGGACCAGACAGCCTGGGCCAACATGAACATGGGACCGACGGTGCAATTATATGCTGGATCTATTGAGGCAGCCGGGAGGAGGAGGAGGAGGAGGAGGAGGAGGAGGAGGAGGAGGAGGAGGAGGAGGAGGAGGAGGAGGGAGGAGGAGGAGGAGGAGGAGGGAGGAGGGATAGGGAGGAGGGAGGAGGGAGGAGGGAGGAGGGAGGAGGGAGGAAGGAGGAGGGAGGAAGGGAGAGGAGGTGGGAGGGAGGGGAGGAGGGAGGAGGGAGGAGGGTAGGAGGAGGAGGAGGAGGAGGAGGAGGAGGAGGAGAGGAGGAGGAGGAGGAGGAGGAGGAGAGGAGGAGGAGGAGGGAGGAGGAGGAGAAGGAGGAGGGGAGGAGGAGGAGGAAGAGGAGGAGAGAGAGGAGGGAGGAACAGGGGGGGAGGAGAAGGAGGAGGAGGAGGAGGAGGAGGAGGAGGAGGAGGAGGAAAACAGGAGGAGAAGGAGGAGGAGGAGGAGGAGGAGGAGGAGGGAGGAGAGAGGAGGAGAGGAGGAGGAGGGAGGAGGGAGGAGGGAGGAGGGAGGAGGGAGGAGGGAGGAGGGAGGATGGGAGGAGGAGGAGGAGGAGAGGAGGAGGAGGAGGGGAGGGAGGAGGAGGAGTAGGAGGAGGAGGAGGGAGGAGAGCGAGGAGGAGGGAGGAGGAGGAGAGAGGAACAGGGAGAGGAGGGCGAGGAGGGGGAGGAGGAGGATGCGCGCTCGTGCCCCTCGAAGGCCCGGGCCGTGGCCTAAGTTCTGCTGGTTCGATTTCCTGTTGGCGTGGTCCTTGTACAACATGTACGGCGTGCCTTCCGTTGGGCGGGAGCTGGGCGGAGGGCAGGCGCGGGGGGGGTCAGCGGCGAGGAGCAGGGACTGCTGGCCAGGGAGGGAGGAGAGGGACTGCTGGCCGGGGAGGGATGGCTGGCCGGGGAGGGGGGAGGGGACGTGTGGTGGTGGAGATCCTCTGCGGCCAAGAACTCGGATGGTCGTACACTCGACCAGGATAGGAAGGATGCGCGGTAAGGATGCAAGGGCCTTGGAGCGCCATGTTGACGTTTTCCGTGCGGAGCGCAGCAGAATGCCGAAGGATGCCGAATACCGATGGAGCAAGGATGCAAGGGTAGCCTTGGAAAGTTGCCCCATCCTTACTATCATGGTTGACTGTATGACAAGAAGATTCGTGGTTGCCCCCTCACTGACGGCCTCGGCGATCCAACCACTGGGGGGCCGCAAAAGACGCTGCCAGTAGGCAGCCGTCGGCGCACGGCCACATCTCAAACAGAGACGCAATAAAAACTACCTGACTCGATCGCCCCGGCTGGCAGAACTCATCATGCGAGTATCACTGCAGCGGTCACGTGCGAATGTGACAAGGCGAACGCCCTCCAGGACCGCCCGCAGGTGGAAGTGGGCCCCCTCTCTCTCGTGTAAAGCAGGGGCGAACTCCCTCAAGAACCGCCCGCGGGCAGTGGGTCCCCCGGGGGGCGGGGGCAGGCCCCTCGCAGAGACAGGGGGCCCGCTCAGCGACCCGCCGAGCTCGCAGCGCCAGCGGCAGGCTCGGGAGGAGGACGCGGCCCCGCAACGCCAGCAGCGCCAGCGCCGGCCGTCGACCTCTACATGCCCTGGCAAGTCGCGGTCCCGTGAAGGCCTCCACTCCACAACATTCACGCAAAAGGCTGACAACCCTGATCTCCGGCTCTTTGTCGGCCAGAACCACGATCAAGCAACGGAGCTTCGCACCGAACAGATCTCCCGTCAACCCAAAAAAGAACGATGGGCAGCTGCACTTGAATCGACCCTGGACCGAAATGATCAGGATGTTTCGTATCGACAACTTACTGCATTTCGGAGCCATTCGTGGCGAACCGTGGCGTAGCCGCGCCGACAAGACACGAGTCGGGCGAACCACACTTGTGGCCCTTCTGGCCAGCGACCCTGGGCAACTGCGCACTCTCGCGCGCCGCCTCCGTGGGCGCCGACAGGGGATCCTCCGCGGCGAAGACTGCACTGATGCTTCGCCGCGCCGCTCTCTCCAGCAGCCCGCTGCGCAGGACGGATCGCCCCCGGCCTCGAAACCAGGGCCGCCTTCGCCCCCATCGCGAGGTGTCACTGCTGCCCTCTCGGGTGCCCCACCGGGCTCCCGCACCCCCGTCGGCGGCGAGCTAAGGAGGGGAAGCGAGAAGGAGAGGGCCCTCTCGGAAGGGGAACTGGGACACACAAGTAAATAGACACAGATAACCAGATTCCCCATCTGTTCCCATCTTTTCTGGGTTTCTGTCTTCCCCCCCACTTCCCATATTTTCCCATATTTTCTTGGGAATCGACGACTACGTGTGTCTGTGTGTTTTTTGTCCCCTCCTGACTCTCAGAAGGCGGCGGGACTTCTCAGAAGCCCTCGCGCCCTGAGAAGCTTTCTGCGTCTTCGGGGAAGGCGCATACGACTTCTCAGAGGGCCTGGGCACTTCCGAGCCTTCTGAGAAGGCCCGCCCCCGCTCGCTTCCCCCCAGGCTCGCCGCTGATCTGGGGCTTCTAGCCAGTCTTGGAGGGGGAGGAGGAGGAGGAGGAGGAGGAGGAGGAGGAGGAGGGGCAGGAGCAGGAGGAGGAGCAGGAGCAGGAGCAGGAGGAGACTGCTGCACGGTGTCAGCGAGGGCACTCCTGAGACGCGAGAGGCAGATGTGCCCAAAAATTGTGCCACCTCGTAACTACTGAAGTGTTGCGCATGCGCACAGATGGCGCACTCGTACGGTGGGTTGGTGCCAGAGTGCGTAATGTATCGCCGACACTCTAGATCTAGGAAGCCTCCCCTGCTCCAAACTCCGAATTCAATGTTCACTAGTGTAACGCTACATACAATCACAATGCGGGCTGGAACACGGTGACCGCGGTTAATAATAAGAAATCCAGCTTGATGCCACAGCAGCTGCCGCTTGGCCGGGAACGACGCCCCACAGACGCCCCGGCCCTCCCTATTTCTCACCCCACTCCATTCAAAACTCAAACTCAGGATGAGGAAATGGAGAATGAGGAGAAACCACACGGGCAAGATCAGGGATCACCATCTCACCAGCAAGGAAGGGGGAGCGGGAGGGAGAGGGAGAGGGAGAGGGCGAGGAAGGAAAGGGAAAAGGAAGGAAAAGGAAAAGGAAGGAAGGGAGGAGCGGGAGGGAGGAAGGAAAGCGAAAAGGAAGGCAGGAAAGAAGAAGAAGAGGAGGCAGGAGAAGGAAGAGGAAGGAAGGAAGGAAGCGGGAGCGGGAGGAGGAAGGAAAACGAAAAGGAATGCAAGGGAGAGGAAGAGAGAGGGAGAGGAGGAAGGAATAGAGAGGGGGTGCAGTGAAGTCGAGCCGGCGGTTCGGCACTCGGGCGCCCGCGCAGGCAGCGCGCTGGAGAACGGGGGAATCTTCGTGGAGGACTGGGACACTGAGAGGAAGTATCAAGAAGAGCTGGAGGTGGTGGAGGAGGAGAAGCGATGACGACGAGAAGGGAAGGGGGACCCACAGATCCGACTCCGTGATTTTTCAATGCGCGGCCCCCAGATGTCTCGACGCACTCTCCGGGACCGGTTTTTCATCTCGAGTCGTGTGTTGACGGTCCCGAGGCCCGGCGAGGGCCCCTAGGGGCCGACATTTGCGAAACGCATCCGTCTTGATTTTTTCAATGCGTTGGATCTGTGGGGAAGAAGACCCGTGCAAACCCGACGCGTCAAGGATGTTGCAGAAATCCTCCCTGCAAAATCCCGCTTCATATGTCCCTGCCAGAGCTTTTGTTAACCGCGGGAAGTGCCCCGCTGGAAAACAGCAGTCTGATAATCATCACTCAAGACAACCGAGCATGTGTGGGAGACCAACGCCACGACTTAACTCAACTGCTGCGCCCTGACACTCGCAGATCGCATCCGAACATAACTCCTGGGAGTTCAACACCGAAAACAACGAGAAGGTTGCTACCAAACCGTCCTAAGTCGTGCCCGCGCAACATCCCTGGGACTTCAACCGTACGAACCCACGACGCTGCTGCAAACGTTCAAGAAGAATGTGCGCGGCGCGAACGCGATGACCACAGTTTGACAAGGAGCCATTGTCTGTCCTTAACACTGCCGCAAATCATTACAACAAAATGCGCGGCGCGAAGACAAGAGCCACACAACGACCATCCACTGCGAATGCTCGGAACGAGTGTGCACGGCGCTGCCGCGAGGACCACATTTTGAAAACTACCTGCACTCCATCCTATGTCCGCGGCGCGAATGCAAAAACCGCAAGTTGAAAACGACCGGCCCTCCATCTTTGAAGATGCTACAAAGGCTTAAAACGAATGAGCGAAGCGCTACGATAAACGCAATAAAACATTACCCACCCTTGATCCGTGAAGATGCTGCAAGCGTTGGCAGCGAATGCGCGCGACGCGAAAGCGGGAGCCACATTTTGAAAACCACTCGCCCTCCATCCATGGAGGTGCTGCAGAAGTGCTGCAACGAATGTGCATGGCGCTAAAGCGACACCACCCTTTGAAAAGGACCAGCCCTCCATACTCGAAACGGTTGCACCAGAAACTTGCAACGAATGCGTGCGGCGCTCAGGCAATAACTTTTCTTTGAAAGCTACTTGCCCCCATCATTGAAATAATATGCCAACTGTTCAGACGAATGTGCGCGGTGCGAAAGCCACAATCACATGTTGAAAACGACCGACACTCCATCTTTGAAACTGCTGCAAACGTTTAAGACGAATGCGCGCGGTGCTACAGCGAAAGCCACTGTTGACAAGGACCCGCCGAAATTTAAAACGAATGTGCGCGGCGTGGAAGCCAGAGCCACATTTTGAAAACGGCCCGCCCTCGACCCTGGAAGAAAAAGAGAACTGTCAAATCGCATATGCGCGGCGTTAAAGCGAGAACAACATGCTGAAAAGGGCCCGCCCCCCATCCGTGAAACTGTTGCACACGTCAAATTTGAATATTGTACATGGTGAAAAGTCTCGGCCGAAATGCCGGGACCGTCCTGCCGACACGTCTGTGGGTCCGACAGGGAGAAATTGCATCGAACGAAAAGAAATGAATGAATATTCGCATGAGCGTGGCCGTGGGGCGCCGATCCATGACCACTCTTTCGAATGGCACACTGTAAATGTGCGAACGAAACAAAACATCGTTTGACTCATGACTACTGTCTCGACTGCAGCACTGCAAGCCTGCAAACGAAACAATCATGGCAAGGGTACGGGAGGAAGAGGAGGAGGAGGAGGAGGAGGACCGCACGCCACTGCAGGGAAAGAGAGAGGGTTCAGTCCGAGAAACGCCCAGGGGGCGGCCCATCCGAGGAGACCTTGTTTTGTCTCCCTGGCACCTGCCAAGGCCCCGCCCTGTCTGCCGATGCTCCCACGCTCGCACACGCCTGCTCACATCTGTCCCGCCTGGTGCCCGCGTGCGCTCGCGGGCGCTGCCGACGCCGGTGGCGAGGCGCCTCGGGACCGCCTAGGTAGGGTGGGTAGGCAGCCGGGTTTTGCCACCCCCGCAGTCTTGACCTCTTGCTGCCTTGCTCGCGCGCTGCACGGCGCGCGGGCGGGACACCGCAGCGTTTTGGCCCAGAAGAGGACCTAGAGTCCGAAACGCGTCGCCAGCTAAAAGTGGTTGAGAACAGTAGTGCGCCAAGTGGAGGAGGGTGAGACGACCCTCCTGCACATCCTTTCTCCTACGGCCGGCGTCGCAAAGATAGCGTGCAACACCGACCTTCGACAAGCGCGCCATCGCCCGCGGGGCGATCCCCACGCGAAGGCCCCCTCTGCGCACGCCGCCCCCCTACGAGGGCCTCTTC